AACTTTGTGAATACAAAGGAAAAGATACAACTGTTTGTTGTGTGATGAAATGTCAGGAAATTGCAGGTTAGAAGTGTACAAGGTAATCCAAAGAATAAAAAAATAAGTTTTCATAAATGTATTTTAATTTTATTAGCTTGCAAGAAATGGGGACCAATTTTGTATCAACCCAATCAGATTGTGGGTGGAGGTGGTGAACCATCATCGACTGCCGAATTTCCACATATGGTTTAAAATTTTATATGCACATTTTAACAATTTGTATAATATATGTATTATTTTTTCAGGCGGCATTGGGATACGATGATACTCAAAACAATGAGACGTATTGGGGTTGTGGAGGAAGCTTGATCAGTCTGAAATTCGTTCTGACTGCAGCTCACTGTCTGAATAGCGTAGCATTGTTTGAACTAATTATATAATTAAATTCAATGAAAGTTGATTTGATTGTTTTCAGTGGTCCGGTGAAGTACGTGAGACTTGGAGATTTGAATTTGAAAACTACGGACGATGAAGCCGATCCTCAAGAATTCCTCGTTACCAAAACATACAAACATCCACTCTACAAACGTCCCAGCAAGTACCATGATATAGCCTTGATCGAATTAGATCGGGCAGCTGTGATTACCGAGTTTGTACAACCAGCTTGCCTGTATATCAATCTGAACACCTCACATAGTATACTTATTGCAACTGGTTGGGGTTTGCTTTCGTTCCAAGGAAAAACAGCGGATCATCTTCAAAAATTATATTTACACCATGTGAATAACAGCGATTGCAAGAAAGCATATGATGTGAATCATCGTGTTCTTAGTGAAGGTATACACGAGCAATATCAAATTTGCGCAGGATATCCAAGAAGAGACACCTGTCAAGTATGTTGTTTGCATTTACTACTTGATTGTGAATTTTATTAACTTCATAATTTTTAGGGAAATTTCGGGGGACCTTTGCAATCGTTTAATAGATTTGGTAGCTTTAATATTCATGGAGTCATGTCCTTCGGAAAAGCTTGTCTATTAACAAATAGTCCTGGAGTCTATACTCGAGTGGCCAACTATATAGATTGGATCGAACCCATAGTTTGGCCAAACACTAAGTAACCATTTTTTAAATATAAATAATTATTTTTCGAATGGATTTAAATAAATTTTAACTGATAGTAAATTTATTTTTGTCTTAATAAAATATATATAAAAACAATTAAATAATTCATTTACACTGACACCTTATCAAATAAAACAAAATATATCGTTTGAACTTGATAATTCCAAATTATATTTTTTTTATTAATTTGTATTAACCTTTGAGCCTGTTCAATAAGGAAAAACCAAAAGCGGATCGCGCATCTTCTGACAATCTTCTTGGTAAGAGAAATAACAACCATATATTTACGAGCCCAAGCAACGCCCACTTGTTTATACATATATGTTAATAATTTTAATTTTCTTTTAGTAATTTTTCTATAGCTCACGTGTATAGTCACTTTTAGGGAAATCCATTGAACGTATTTCCCCAATAATATAATCATGTTTCTATGGAAACTGAGTTTTCTTATAATATTGTTTGTAATTAGATCCAAAGCCAACCTTGAATGGGGTAAGTAAGCTTGAAAAAAATAAGAATGTGTATTCTTGTTTGTTTAATATAATTTAGGAGAGGAATGCGAGTTGGAAAATGGATCAATGGGCGTTTGCATTGAGGCATCGAAATGCCAACATGCTTATAGAAATATTATATCAGGGAATCAATCGAATCTTTCTCAATCCATAAGAAAAGAAACAATTGTTTGTTGTGATGATGTAAATGTCAAGGAAATTGCAGGCATTAGAAGTGTACAAGGTAATCTAAAGAATGAAACAAATAAGTTTTAATAAATGTATATTAATGTTATTAGCTTGCAAAAAATGGGGACCAAATTTGTATCAACCCGATAGGATTCTGGGTGGAGATGGTGATCCAACATCGTCCGCCGAATTTCCACATATGGTTTAAAATGTTAGCTGCACGTTTTAAGAAGTGGTATAATATATTTATTTATTTTTCAGGCGGCACTGGGATTCGAAGATACTGAAAACAATGACACTTATTGGGGATGTGGAGGAAGCTTGATCAGCCTGAAATTCGTTCTGACTGCAGCTCACTGTCTTTATAGTATACAATTGTTTGAACTGTTCACGTAATTAATTAAATTCAATAAAAATTCATTGATTTTTTTCAGTGGTCCGGTGAAGTACGTGAGACTCGGAGATTTGAATTTGAGAACTACAGACGATGAAGCCGATCCTCAAGATTTCCTTGTTTCCAAAACATACAAACATCCACTCTACAAGCGACCCAGCAAGTACCATGATATAGCCCTGATAGTATTAGATCGTTTAGCTGTGATCACCGACTTTGTACTACCGGCTTGCCTGAATATTAATATGAATACTTCAAACAACCGACTTATTACAACTGGCTGGGGTTTGGTTCCGTTCTCAGGAATAGAAGTGGATCATCTTCAAAAATTAAATTTACACCATGTGAATAACAGCGATTGTAAGAAAGCATATGATGTGAATCATCGTACACTTAGTGAAGGTATACACGAGCAATATCAAATTTGTGCAGGATATCAAGGAAAAGACATCTGTCAAGTATTTTGTTTGCCTTTACTGCTAGGTAGTAAAATGTATTAATTTTTTAATTTTTAGGGAAATTCAGGGGGACCTTTGCAATCGCGAACGAGATTAGGTAACTTTTATATTCATGGAGTCACATCCTTCGGGAACGCATGTCGATTGACAAAAAGTTCTGGAGTCTACACTCGAGTAGCCAACTATATAGATTGGATCGAATCAATCGTTTGGGCAAACACTGAGTAACTTTTTATTAATAAATAAAGAATTTTGGAATTTTATCTAAAGTAAATTTATTTTTAAATTAATAACATGAGTATCCTGGTGCAAGCGCCCTGGTACGTCAAGAAAGACCGATACACAGTGACCTCCATATGAACACCGTTAAGAGTGAAATCCCCATGTTCAGTGCCCGTTACCATAACAGATTGGAAAACCACCTCAACAGTCTCGCGTTATTCCTGCTATACAATAGTGGCACCCCCTACATACTAAAGAAACACAACACCCATGACCTCTCCTTTAGAAACCAAAAGTTCGTTTTATAAGTGAATTACAGTGAATATCTTTTTAACTTATTATTTGGTGTCGTCAGAATACTTTTCTGTTTTTATTTTCTTTTTTTTGTCTATGGCCAAAAAAATTCTACTTATTGCCAAAAAAGTTGGTAGGTTGTCAATTATTAAAATATATAAAAAAAAAATGAGTATCGGGCAAAATGTAGTTTTATTTTTATTATGTTAAGTTATTATTAATATATGTATGAAAACAATTAAATAATTTATTTACACCTAAACCTTGTTAAAAAAGTGATTTGAACTTATTTATTGATAATTCCAAATATCATTTTTTTTTATTACATTGTGTTAACCTTTAAACCCGTTTAAAAACGAAAAACCAATAGCGACGCGTAGACCTTCTGACCTTTTTCTCGTCAAAACAAAATAATAATAACCAGATATTTACGAGTCGAAGCAATACCCATTTCTTTATACTTATGTATTAACAATTTTAATTTTCTTTTAGTTATTTTTCTGTAACTCACGTGTCCAGTCACAATCGCAATTTTTGGGAAATCCACTGAACGTATTTTCTAAATAATATAATCATGTTTTTACGGAAACTCAGTACTGTTATAATATTATTTGTAATTAGTTCTGAAACCACACTTGAATGGAGCAAGTAAGCTTAAAAGAAAAATAAAAATCGTTTTGTTTGTTTAATATAATTTAGGAGAGGAATGCGAGTTCAATGAAAGTTAATCGATTCAGAGGTCCGGTGAAGTACGTGAGGCTCGGAGATTTGAATTTAAAGCCGATGAAGCCGATCCTTAAGATTTCCTTGTTACCAAAACATACAAACATCCACATTACAAACGACCCATCAAGTACCATGATATAGCCCTGATAGTAATAGATCGTGCGGCTATGATCACCAAGTTTGTACTACCAGCATGTCTGAATATCAATCTGGACACCTCAAATAATCGTCTTACTGTAACTGGATGGGGATTTCTTTCTTTCCAAGGAAAAGCAGCGGATCATCTACAAAAATTAGATCTATTCCATGTGAATAACAGTGATTGTAAGAAAGAATATGATGTGAATCATCGTGTACTTAGTGAAGGTATACACAAGCAGTATCAAATTTGCGCAGGATATCAAGGAAGAGACACCTGTCAAGTATGTTGTTTGCATTTACTACTTGCTATTTAATTTTATTAACTTCAAACCTTTATGGACATTCAGGAAGACCTTTGTAATCGCAAACGAGAATAAGTAACTTTTATATTCATCGAGTCACGTCTTTCGGGAAAGCTTGTTTCTTAACAAATAGTCCTGGAGTCTATACTCGAGTGGCCAACTATATAGATTGGATTGAATCCATCGTTTGGCCAAACGATAAATAACCTTTCAGGCAAAAAGGAGCAACAGCTCATATCAGTCACCTACAACACTCAGTATGTAGCTTTGAAAAATAAAGATGATTGAGAAATTCAGTCAATTTTGATCGAAATGTGCAATAAATTTTGTATATTATAATTGTATAAATAAAGATTTTTTTTAATTCTTTAAAAATTTCCACTGAAAATAAACTATAATACATTATTTATTACATTATAATTAATATAAACAGTTTAATAATCTAATTAACTTTAATGCTGCTGAAATAAAACATTTGGTTTCAATTATCTATAATTCGGAACAGAACTTTTAATTATTATTATTGTTAAACTTCCACTTCCACAAATGCTTTCTTTTATTTAAATTACTACAGGTTATATCATAAAGTGTTTTGCTGCTGCAGTCGCACAGTTAGGAAACCCGCTGAGCGTATTTTACCAACAAAATAATCATGTTTATTCTGAATCTCAGTGCTGTTTTAATATTTGTTGCAATTTGTTCAAAAGCCACACTTGAATGGGGTAAGAAAATTGAAAAAAATAATGAGATTGTTTAAATTATCAATATTATAATTTAGGAGAGAATTGCGAATTGGAAAATGGATCAATCGGTGTTTGCATCGAGGCAGCCAAATGCCAACAAGCTTACAGAAGTATTAAATTAGGTATAGGGAACAAACCGAAGCTTTGTGAATACAAAGGAAAAGATACAACTGTTTGTTGTGATGATGGAAATGTCACGGAAATTACAGGAGTTAGAAGTGTACAAGGTAATTTGAAGAATACGTCTCCATGAAAAACTGCATATTTTGATTATAGCTTGTAAGAAATGGGGTCCAATTTTGCATCTTCCACCAGTTCGAAGTATTATCGGTGGAAGTGTTCAACCATCATCAACAGCCGAATTTCCACATATGGTTTGATATTTCAGCTACTGCTTGTCAAGGAGCCGAATAATGCGATTATGTTCTTATTCAGGCTGCATTGGGATACGAAGATACCGAAAAGAACGAGACCTATTGGGGATGCGGAGGAAGTTTGATCAGCCTGAAATTCGTGTTGACGGCCGCTCATTGTCTACATACCATGCAATTGTTTGAACTATTTATATAATGATATTCAATATAAATTGTTTGATTGTTTTCAGTGGTCCTATAAAGTACGTGAGGCTAGGTGATTTGAACTTGAGAGCTACAAACGACGATGCCGATCCTCAAGATTTCCTTGTTTCCAAAACGTACGGACATCCACTTTACAGAAGTCGCGTCAAGTATCATGATATAGCTTTGATTGAATTGAATCGACCTGCCGTTATCACGAAGTTTGTACAGCCAGCTTGTTTGAACATACATCTAAATACTTCGATTAGTAGTTTTACTGCAACTGGTTGGGGATTGCTTTCGTTCCATGGAAATGCAGCCGATCATCTGCAAAAGTCATTTCTACGTTATGTGAATAATACTGAATGTAGAAAATCATATGATGTGAACTCTCGGCTGTTAAGCGAAGGCGTACAAGAAAAATATCAAATTTGCGCAGGATTTGAAACCAAGGACAGCTGTCAAGTATTTTGTTTGCATTGGCTACTTGATTATCAGATGTATTAATGTAATAACTTTTAGGGAGATTCAGGAGGACCTTTGCAATCGCTAACAGAATTAGGAAACTATTATATTCACGGAGTCACGTCCTTCGGAAAAGCTTGTCTATTAACAAATAGTCCAGTAGTGTACACTCGAGTAGCCAACTATATAGATTGGATTGAACCGATCGTTTGGCCAAATACTAAATAACATTGTTTTATAAAGAAATAAAATAGATAAGACAGAAAAAACTTTATTTAAATGTAACATAATACATTAAATCTAATACTGTGTTTGAATTAATTTAATGCATTTATTTATTATCTTCCTAAAAACCAAGTTAATTCATATGATTTGTAGTATTCATACTTTTTATCAGGAAATAAACGAAACCACGGTCTATATTTACGCATTTGCGCATATAGAAATTAATAATAATAGGTTGAATAATTGTATGTAGTGTGCAAGAAAACAAAAGCAGTATTCGTATATATCGCCAAGACAAAACATGTCCTTCAAGCTGTTCTGCTGTGTGACTTTGATTATCCTGATAATTGACCATCTCAATGCACAATACAAAGGTAAGTTTCAAATGTAAACAAAAAAAATAATACAAATATTTTTCAACGCGATTTACTTAGAGGGAGACAACTGTACTTTGAGAAATGGTTCGAAAGGGCAATGCTATGGAATCAAGGATTGTGAACAGGCAATTCTGCTTCTCCTTTTGCACAACAAAGCTTTGAAAACGTGCAACACTCAGGGAGACACGACACTAGTCTGTTGCGGCAAGAGAAAAATTGTTGGATATAGAAGTACTATAGGTATTTATAAACTAGTTATTACTTTAATAATTGCAACAATATCTCGCTTAGTCTGGCTGTGTTCATTCACTATAATCGGGTTTGAAAATTTCAGAACAAATTAAATTTTAATTAAGAAAAATAAAAATTAACAATTTTTTTTTAATAAAAGAACATTCTTTTTCTTTGCACATTTTCTTACGTGTGGTCTTAAAGTTATGCGATACGATACATATTTGAACCCCTTAAGTGGTTATGTCGTATATATTCGCGTTTATGACGAATATATTCGCATCACGAATAATAATATACACTAGCAACAAAAATACGTGTCCATAAATACAGTTTCGAATAGTCCGGGCTATGCGAGGTATTGATGTATTTACATAAATATAATGGTAAATTAGGTGTTAATCAAATGTGAGAAATAGAGTTAAAATAATAGTACTAATTCGTTACATAATAATTAGTGTTATACTAGTTAATTTAATAGAAAGTAATTGCAGAATCTGGTTTTTCCTTCTACATGTGCTACAAATTTAAATCTAAAATGCGTTAGTAATAGACTTGGAATTAATTACTTGGAAAGTCCTTAAGTTAATATGCATATTTCATACTTTGATGTCAATGCTAATTAAATAAAAATACCAGAATCTTTAAAATAATACTTCGCTCTTCATTTAGCTCATTCAATTCGTATATAACACGCATCTAAAATTCATATTTAATTGCACAAAAATGTAAAGTTTTATTTAAAAAAAAATATATAATATAAAATTTCACTTTGTATCGCCAATTTTATGATTATTTTAGCTTGTCACATATGGAACCAATCGGTTAGGTACATCGGAGGTGGAGGAGTTGATGCTTTGCCGAGAGAATATCCGCATATGGTAATTTATGGATTAAAAAGGAATAAAAATACAGTTTAATATTGCTATTGTTTAAGGCTGTTTTGGGATATGGGAGTAACAGTACACAGAAATTGAATTGGTCGTGTGGCGGTAGCTTAATCAGCGAGAAATTCGTTTTGACTGCAGCGCATTGCTTAAACCACAAAGAATTGTAAGTGTTATTTCGCTGAAGAGATAATCTCTTGAAAAAAAAACACGTTTTTTTTTTGTTTGCAGCGGACCAGTCAAGTACGTGAGGATCGGAGATTTAAATTTGAAATTGACAAACGACTCTGTCAAGCATCAGGATTTCCTAGTAGCCAATACCATCAAGCATCCATCGTACAAACGTCCGTCGAAGTACCACGATATAGCTCTAATCGAGCTGGATCACAGTGTGAAAATTACGGAGGACGTGATACCGGCTTGTTTGAATCTAGCTAAATCCAACCCTGTTCAGTATGCGGCAACAGGATGGGGCTTGTTGTCCTTCCAGGGTGTTGCGCCGGATCATCTACAAAAGCTTGTGCTGAATCACGTTAACAACACCGAGTGCAACAAGCATTTCGAGGTGAACGCTCGAACTTTGAAGAGAGGAATCATGGAGAATAGACAGATTTGCGCTGGGTATCCCGGGAGGGATACTTGTCAGGTATGGGAAGTTATTAATGGAAGGAGTTATTTTAGGAATTAACTTGCAGGGAGACTCAGGAGGACCTCTTCAAACCAAAAATGAGTTGGGCGTTTTTTTCATTCACGGCGTGACGGCCTTCGGAAAGCCCTGTTTATTGACAAGTAGTCCTGGCGTTTACACAAGAGTTTCCAATTACCTCAGATGGATTGAGGAGAGCGTATGGCCAAATAACACAATATATGAGAAAAAAACTGTATATTGAAGTGTGAAGTTGCATCTAATTTTATAACATATTTTTATTAATTACTAAAAAATAATTTTAGTTCTGTAAGTATTAAAGAAATAAACTTTACTTATGAAAGGAATACAAGCTGTACCTTCATTATAATTTAAAAAAAAAGAAAAAATATCATTGTCAATAAACTATGGTTCTTAGAGTTTATACAAAACCGGTTTTCAAATCTCAACTTTTCTACAAAACCGGTTTTCGAATATTCCCAAAAAAATGTGAGGAAATGGATTTTTACAACTTATTTTCTTTTTATTTAATATATACAAAAATTAAACATATCAAAAATAAATCTTACAAAACAAAACTTAAAAATTCTAGAATATTACATAAAACTGTAACAAAATAAAATTTATTCCATAGAATAACAAATAACAATAAATGACTATAAAATATTATTTCATTTCTTATTTTTAATCTTTAGAGCATTAAAAAATTGAACTAAATTTTGCGTTCTTCGGTTCACAACACAGAAACAGAATGAAATCACTTCTTCGCGATCTTGAAGAAATTTATTAATTGATTTGTCCATAACATTATTCAAATCAGTGGCTTGATTTTCTTCTTCGCTGTTTTTTTTCATAATCGCAGTCATCTTCTATTAAATAATTTGAATACAATCTTCATAATATTCGTCCATATAACTTAATGATCGTTAGACGTCTTTGTCCAAACGTTCTGAGGATTGTGTAAATAAAACAGAAATGTGACTAATACCGTTTGACTTCTCTTTCAAATTAGTGTCTCTACAGCACGAAATAGCTTAGAACTAATTTTAGTTGTCAATTTTGTTATTCAAGTAACATACATACAAATATGCCTTCACTTTTAATAATATCACATTTCAACATTATATTTATTTTAATACTAGCAAATTATGTAAATAAAAAATGAAGCTAAAAGTATAATTTTAATAAAAAATGCATAATCATATTGTTGATGATATTTAGATAATTGATACAATGATCATAGGATGCATATATTAATATTTTAGAAAGTCCGAATTTCTAAATTTAGCAGCCCCAACTTGATTAAAATTGAATAGCAACTCATTAGAATGCTGCATATAAAAAGAATTATTATATTAGTTTATTTTCATTCAATGGTTCAAAGACGAAACATGCTACAAATTGCAGTTGCAGTATTTTGTACGTTACTGCAATTAGTGGATAGTAAATCAGTAGGAGATGAATGCGATTTTGGAAATGGTACGCAGGGAATTTGCGTGGGAATCAAGGATTGTCAAGAAGCTATTAAACTTTTAAATTTAAAAAAAACATTGAATGTGTGTAACTATAAAGACGAGTATCCTGTGGTTTGTTGTAATGATACCAATATTGTAGCAACGAGAGGAGCCAAAAGTATAAAATGTAAGTAATATTGTAACGTAATTTAATTAGTTAGGAAGATATTCGCTTTAGATTGTCAACAGTATCAAACAGTACCAAAGCCATCAGCTTGTGTCGGCGGTGGCCAGGATTGTCGTCTGCATGAGTTTCCGCACATAGTGAGTGTGCACTATACTGAAGCGATTAATTGCGTAATTTATTTTAATTTTTCAGGCAGCTTTAGGCTTTGAGAATAATAAAGAGATTGTCTGGGGATGCGGCGGAAGTTTGATCAGCTTAAAGTTTGTGCTCACTGCTGCTCATTGTCTGTACAATGTCGAATAGTAAGTTGCTGTCAACTTATTAAAAATACATTTGAAAACTCTATCTTACAGCGGATCTGTCAAGCATGTGAGATTGGGGGATTTAAACTTAAAAAGCGATGAAGACGATGATCAGGTACAAGATTTCACGGTCATGAAGAGATACAAGCATCCCCTATATAAGAGACCTTCGAAATATCACGACATAGCTTTACTAGAATTGGATCGTGATGCTAAAGTCACTGAATATGTAAAGATCGCGTGTCTTAATGTAATCGATATTCCAAATGATAATGTATACATTGCTATTGGTTGGGGTTTACTATCGTTCCATGGAAAAACAGCAAATATTTTGCAGAAAGTGCACGTGAGAGAAGTCAATAATTCAGCGTGCAATAACTTCTATGAAGTACACCAGCGTTTCTACAACTCGGGCATTGTGGAATCAACGCAAATTTGCGCAGGAGAACCTGGAAAAGACACGTGCAAGGTAAATTTTACTTGTGATTTATGTGTCAAAGTAAATGATGTAACAAATTTCAGGGAGATTCCGGAGGACCTCTACAAATACGCAATAGGAACTATCTGAAAGCTTACGATATCCATGGGGTGACTTCCTTTGGTAAAGCGTGTCTCCTAACTAACAGTCCGGGTGTTTACACCAGAGTTTCCTATTATATTGATTGGATCGAATCAATAGTTTGGCCATAAAGTTTAAGAATGTAGGAAGTACTGCTAGTCAACATAAACTTCTAATAAATGTAAATTATGTCAATTGGTACCAAAAATTAACATAATTTTCTCAATATCCCATTAATATCACACTTTTTTCCTGTGTGTAGTACATAGTAAAATAAACTCGTTAAAATTGATCCAGATTTTCGTTTAGAAAGTTCTTTTAAGAACGTGGGACCAAAGATTGATCAAAACAAAATGCATCAACTCATTTGCTTTTTGATTTAACTTTATTAAATACTATTTTAATCTCACCGCTTCCGCTATAACAAATTTGTAAGATTCCTGAAATAGATTTAAATTAAAATCTTGTAAATATAGTCGAATTAATAATAAACTTGCGGCGCTTTATGAAATAATTTAATTAAATAATATTGATAATAAGGGAGTTTAAATAAATGAAAATCATCGGTATAGAAAATAAATTATTTTATTTGGTTCTAAGTCAGTCTTTAAGCTTTGTTAACATTTTTGGACGGAATTCTTAACTTGACGTTCGGAATAAATGCAATTGTCGCTACCGCATTTACATGCGAAATAGTTTTTTTTTATTGCCCAGAACTTTTCTCCATAATCGAAACTGAAATTATAAAATAAAAAATTAGATTGATTATATAAATATCATTTTCGAATTAAATCCACCTCAACTCTTCGTTCTTCCGGATATCGCATTTGGCGAACAGCGAAATCCTCGGAAACTTAACGTCATGATGATCTGTGAAGACCCTTATAGGCAACAAGTTCGGTCTGCAGTTGTGGTTCATGAAACGAGACACGTTCCCATAAAACTTCGCATCTATCGAGAACCTTTCCGTACCCTGAAACTATGCTTATCTTACTTGATTCTTTTAGTATATATAAACGTCTTAAGTATACCTTATTGTCAAGATCAAATAAGTACGTGTCGTCTTCACGAGAATCGGCCTGTTCTTCGTTTATAATCTGACCGACGTATTCCGAAACGAAGGTTCCTCGCTTAATGACGTTCAGAGTTTTCACGCCCCAGCCCTTCGACCTGGTCCTGAACAGTTGGAACTTAACTTTGCTTCCTTTCTGCACTACACGATTTGTGCAAACTTCATCTGAACAGGAGCAGGAAGGACTGCATTCAAATATTACCTTATGACCTGCAATACCTTCGAAGTTATAACAGTGTTTGCCGATGGTTTAATCAAAGTAATTACCGGTTAAATCGTTAGCCAAAGAATCGCCCATGTGCACATTGCTATGCTTGTAACAATCACAACTACTTTGGCATATTCCACTACACGAACAACTTACCAGTAAGGTGTCAGAATCGATCTGAATATCGGGCATTATGCAGTTCTTCGTTACGTAACAGTAATCACGAGGCGGCGTTTCATCATCGACACTGTTAATGCAGCTAATGGCATTTCGCTCCTTACCTTCCGATATATCACTGTAAATAAATATAAGAAAAACATATTTCGGGGAGGTGTTAAAAAGTAAATTTTCACGATTTTTCTTTGGGTACTTCTTTTTTTTTTCATATAAATCTCATTTAAATAATAAAAATGAAATATAATCATCAATAAATTATATAGATAGAGGAAAACAATAAGAAAAACGAACAACGCTGATTAGAGAACACACAGAAATAAGTCTAGTTAAAGCTTTAAAATAATAATTAAAAAAGTATAATAGTAAGGTACGCTTATGTCCAGTCTCATAATGCCCTCAGTTTCCAAAATTGAGGACATTTCCTAATCCTTATAAATTATATGACTACAAGCCAGATTATCTAAAAAGAAACAAGATAGATTACTGGATGGACTAGTACTTGCAAGTTTTAGTGTTGGTCGGTAATGTTAAACTAATATGTCCAATTAACAAATTATGGAAGAAACGTGGAAGGAAGATTTGTCTCAAGCCATCAAATGAAGGTAACGTCAGTATCATGGAACGGTGTGAAATGATTTGATACAAATCATTCCACGCAAAATCGTATAATTGTTAAATCGTGAAACCAATGCAAATCCCAGATACGTAGATACTGAGTGAAGGGTTAATGGTTTTGAAAACCCAAATCTATGTTAAGCTTCAATCAGCTTAAGGTATTTGATAAGCGTTAATGGAACTTACTTCGATAAACAATTGGAAGTACTGTTGTCTACTTGGATGTAACTCTGTAGACGGATATTCAATATGAGTGCCTCGTAACTTTTGCTATTCTCAGGACAGCATTCGATTGGAGTCTCATCCGCCTTATTGACAACATCTATTTTAGCACCGCGAGCCAATAGAACTAGCACACAGTTGTAGTTGTCCTGCCTGGCTGCTATATGTCTAGAAACATAATTTACCATTAGAACTTCCCAAAAATTTGGATAAGAGTGGTATCTTACAATGGGCTATCTCCATGTGAATTGATCACATTCACTTCGCCACCAAAATTCAAAATCATTTCCACGATTTTCGAGCTACCACTGAATGCAGCCCAGTGTAGTGCGACGTTCTGCTCAACATCGCTCAAGAGTGGATTCGCTTTTTCACTTAAGAGATATTTCACAATATCGACGTGATTATGCTCACAGCTCCACACCAAAGGGGTCCAGCCTCCGTCATCTGCTATGTCGATGTAATTTTTGATATGCGCTGCAGTTGACAAGAGGATTTCGCAAGCTTCCAAATTACCACATTTCGCTGCTAAATGCAAAGCTGTCATCCCATCCATACCCTTAAACATTAGATATAACATTATTAGATTATATAGATTTGTTTGTAGCCCATTTACACGCATTTCGTTGGAGCTTTAGTTCATTCATTCATTCAACTAGTATCACTTAGAGATATAAGTATTGATATATAATGTAAACAAAGATAACAATTGCATACCTTAGCAATAATACTGGCACCAGCTTTCGTAAGGTATTTAACGACGTCGTTCTGTTCATGAAGTACACCAACCATCAACGCAGTATTCTTTTCGCTATCCAAAATATCCAAATCATCTTCAGCTATTGTGAGCATATGAATTATAGGCAGCAATCCGTGCCTAGCAGAGTAATGTAAAACTGTACCAGTTTCATCTTTATCGCATTCCACGAAACTGTTCAAATCTACACTTCTTGAACCTACATCACAATTATTTTAAAACACATAAGCACAACTAGGTAATGAACAAACCTAATATAGCCGCAACTTCTTGGTAATCGCTCTTCTTAATACAATCTAACAAATCATTAATACTATATTGACCGGATTCCCTCATCTCCGTCTCATTATACAACTTCAGATCCTCGACGGAGATCATCGGTGGTGACTCGCAACTGCTCTCCCTGTTATTAGTCCTTTTAACATTACTAGTTTCTATACTTTTCACCGACCTTGAAATATAAAGCTCGTTTAGTGGAATTGAACTTTCGCAATCTTAGTGCACACACTTTTATATATCAAACATACCAATAATTATTATACTAGAACAGTTTTATAAACCCAGGAAAAAATTTGAACACAAAATTAAATATATGTATATTTAGTTATATATATATGTAGGTATATATATAGAGAAATGTAAAATAGTAGATCCTACCATTTACAAGGGAAAACTACAATCATACAAATTATAAAAGAAAATATAGCGACGTGTTCGTCTTATACGAAAATATACTTACAATTGTTGCGTCCTTAAGAAAACGGGAGGTTTCGACGTTTCCATAATAATCTCTATATCTGTTGTGGGTGATGGTTTGCCACAATGAGGGCATACCAGTGCTTCATCTATACTGTTCTGACATTTTCTGTGGTACTGATGTTTGTTCTCACATTGCACAAAACTTCCCTGAAAAGTAATTTATTAATAAAGAATGATTGAGGAATTGTAGACACAAACCTGTGTACAGAATATACCACAAACTGGACAACAATTATGGTTCAGCATTCGGCTTCTATGTAATGAGCAGAAGACTCCATAAGGAATACGGACAGAAGGCCTTAACATTGATGAGTCTTTGTGGTTGACAGGATTATTGCAACCAATCAGTTTATTACTTATATTATCTATTGCAGTACAGAAAACATTCTCTGAAATAACATCTTTAATTTATGAAATGTTCATTTGCAATTACATTAATTACCTCTGTTTTCAACCAAAACATAATACTTGGTTTCATGACTGCAAACACATAACTGGGTTGCTGTCATCTGTGGGACTAGCACTGGTTTAGTATCCAATTCAATATTCAATTTGGTGTCGCTTTCCACTATTTCCTCCTTGATCTCGACCAGTTGCTCAACAACCTTAGTCCTCCTTCTGGTAGACTTAACTTTAACAACCTTCTCTTCTCCATCACCTCCCTTAACCCTCTTCTTCTTCTCATGTTTTGATGCAGCTGCATTGGCTATATTGTCCAGGATCTTCTGGGTGGGTTTTAATTGCCTGGTCAGCCTCTGGGGCTTATCAGACTCATTGTAAGACTTCTCCTTGCGAGCTATCGCCGTTTTCAGAATAGACTCATTGTAATCGCGGCTTCGGCGTCTTGTGGACCTCTTCACGTTTACGTCGATTGCCACTTTGACCCGCTTCGACCTCTTCCGCGGCTTGGAGAATCCGAGTGTCACCGCAGTTGTATCTTCCGTCACTGCCTCTGATTCCACCTTTTGCACTTCCTCCTGCGAGTTTTCTTCGGAGCCGTTGTTAAACTGTGTCTTCATCTCTCCTAAAATTTTCGTTATAAAGGTACCTTCCTCCTCATTGCATGGGGTGGAGTCTGAAGATTCTTCCTCCATTATCGCGCGAACTCTATGCGCCGAAGAACCTCTCACATAACTATCAAAGCACGTGCATTGTTTCTTGACTTATTGTTGGTTGCTAGTGCAAAATAATAAATAATTCGTTGCCAATGGGAGCACTATTGTATACACTTTACTTATTGACGTTCATTTCTTGCGCGCACTGTTGCATGATGGCATTGGATGGCAACGTAGAAAAGCTTCGCTTCCTTGATAAGAAACTACGGAATGCAGTCCATTCTCTTCGTGCTCACTATCATTACATTACATCATTTACATTCAATAGCAAACAGAGTCCATCCAACCAATTCAGTTTACTCTTCAGCACACGAACTCTTCGAAAGAGACAACAGAAATACTCTTTGCAAAAGAATTGATGATACAAAACGAAAGCTTCGTTCTTGCACCATTTCGTTAATCAATCAGACGTAACTCTACACTTACAATTAAAATTGAGTTAATCGAGCCTCCAATACCCGGATTTTCCTTACACCTATCAAACTTTAATTCAATAATAAAATTTTACAGAAACTACCAAAAATTCAATTTGAAATATTTATATTCGGACCCATCATTATTTAAACAATGGTTTGCAATCCAACAGATGGCGCTCTTCATTTAATTAGGTATATTTTACAGCGTTTTCATTAAATTAGGGGTTAGAAATTACATATCATTTGCAAATTAACAATATTTAAGTTTAATATGACTATAATTAAATTAACATGTGACTTTGACAATGACAGGTTACCTGGAAAATGTCCGGGTGTCAACACGCAACACACGTAAACAATTGCCAAAGTGGGCTGTTTGAACTAAAGAGAAATTCTTATTAACTAAGGATCTCTGCTATTTCCAGTGTATTATGTGCCATTAAGGAGTGAAGTATTAAATAATCTATTAATCATGAAGAAATCAGGTAAATGTAACTGATTGCACATAATATAATGTTATTTGTGGAATTCATTTGCCAACTGGATTATTTTATAGACATTCTTTTGTATTTCAGGTGAAAATGGGAATCTCAAATACATAAGTTTACTGATTTTAACTGTGCAAAATGCAATGCTTGGATTGTCCATGCGTTATGCTAGGACAAGGGATGGAGACATGTTCTTGTCATCCACTGGTAAGGAATTTCTTTCAAGAATATCTCTTCATTTATTTCCAAATGTGTCTCACTATTTATTTGTTGTAGCTGTTTTAATGGCTGAGGTTGTGAAATTGGTTACATGCTTGGCAATTGTGTATGTTCAGACTGGGGGTATCACTGGCCTTGTACATTCCATACAAACTATCATTATTCAAAATCCTAAAGATACACTTAAAGTGTGTGTTCCAAGCTTTGTTTATGTCATACAAAATAATTTGTTGTATGTCTCTGCATCTCACTTGGATGCAGCCACTTATCAGGTGAACTTTGTTTGCAATATGATTGGAATTTAGTGGATTATAAGGATTATTTCAGGTTTCATATCAATTGAAAATATTGACGACAGCGATGTTTGCCGTTGTGATATTGCGCAAGGAGCTGCACAGGACGCAGTGGTTCTCTCTACTCACTTTGGTCGTCGGAGTTGTGTTGGTGCAATTGGCGCAAACTGATAGTCCGACGACCCACACTACGGGACCGGAGCAGAACCGTTTGATAGGGTTTGCAGCAGCTTTAACAGCTTGCGTTCTTTCCGGTTTCGCCGGAATCTACTTCGAGAAGATGCTCAAAGGAAGCGATATTACGGTTTGGATGCGAAACGTCCAGCTGAGCTTGTGCTCCATACCGTTCGGTTTGTTAACTTGCTTTTTATACGACGGCAAGGTCATCCACAACCAAGGTTTCTTCTTTGGATACGATAAGTTCGTCCAGTATCTGGTCATACTGCAAGCTTGCGGTGGATTGATCGTAGCTATGGTCGTGAAGTACGCCGATAATATACTTAAAGGATTCGCCACTTCTCTGGCAATAGTCATCTCATGCGTGGCATCCATCTACTTATTTGATTTCGTCCTGACCCTTCAGTTCACCCTTGGAGCTGCGTTCGTCATCGGTTCGATATTCCTTTACGGATACGTACCCAAGAAGACTACCATCGTGGGCTCAAAGGTGTAAACAAAAATAATCTCGCAAGGAACTTATTATATCGTTATTATTATATATATATATTAAATTTAAAATATACTCTTTTTTTTATAATAATAAAAACAAATTGTCTTAATCTTGAAAGCAGGCCTTTTTGACGTTTCAATCGTTGGAACGGCTTCGCGATCTAGACTTGGACCGGGACCTGGACTTGGATTTCCTGGAAATCGATCTGCGTCTGCTGTGCTGAGACTGAGATCGCGACCTGCGCTTCGATCTACTCCTGGAGTACGATCTGGACCTACTGTACGAACGTGACCTAGAACGTGTTCTACTTCTATGCCTAGAATACGATCTCGACCTGGACCTCGAGTACCGGCTGTAACGCTTCATTTGATCTTTCAGAAATTGATGCGCGTACTTATAATAGTCTTGTTGAAAATAAGGATGATTCATTCCCCCGCGCCCCCTGCCGCGGTTAAAACTCCGTTGCGGACCTAGAGTTCAAAAATGCTTTCAATATGCGCGTCCATCGTCCTTTAACGACGACGACAATAATTAAATCGTGCACAACACATCCACATTCAAGTAACAGCTTTGCAATTATTAACCCTATCGTATATATTCGTACGATACCAAAAATTACAGTAGGTATTAAATTTGCTTACCGTTTGAACTAAAAGAATATTTCTAGTACGCAATTTTAATGAGAAAAATAATCTTACGCCTGGACGGTCCTGCCATACCGCGACCTCCCCTCGAATGATGAGGATGGTAATAGGGAAACTGCGAATAGCATGCTGCAGCTGCAGACATGCCATTATACTGGGGTAAATAATTATACCAATTCATGTCGTTCATCGGCTGTGGATGGTACATTTGATTTCGATGGGTATCCTCATAATCTAAAACCGCACAATAAGCTAACTACACCCTAATTATCAAAATTCAACCTTTATCTAAACTAAGAGAAGATGTGCTGCTTGAAGCGTCGTCGTCGATCTTCTCCTTGGCAATAATCGACTTGAGTATAACACGCCCTTCAATTGCATGATGCAACTTTTCTCTCTGCGATTTCACTTCATGCTCTGTCAACGATTTTAACTTGGATAACTGAAAATATATCTGAAATAATCAATCCTCAAATATATCTATCAAAAATACCTCTGAATTATTACAATTCTTCGTCGGCGTAAAATCGGGATTCTTTTGCACTTTAATCTAAAACGAGAATAAATAAATTAAGCTCAATTAATAAAATAAATCACACGTATATAGTGATAATATTGAGAACAAACCTTAATCCTTTTAAACAACTCTTCAACAAGTCTTATAGATTCCAGGCGTCTTTGAACCTTTAACAATTTCTTCTCTTCCTTTGCTATTTTATCATTAATGTCCACAGATCCCTTAGTTTTAAGTTCAGCTAATATTTTAGCCTTCCTCTTTTCTTCCCTCTCCCTTCTTCTCTTTTCTTTCTCATTTTTCATATCAATTTTCTTTTTGCTGAAAGTGTAATGAAAATATTTTTTATTTTCCTCTAAAACTTTATCTTTATACAAACCTATCTGCAATTTGCTGCTTAATAATTTCTTGCTGAATTTCCTTTTCTTTGGCTTCCTTCTCCTTTTGCTTCAATATCAATCTATCCCTAACTATATCTCTTCTCCTAATAGTTGCTTCACTCAAATGCTTGCTCTTATCAAAATCAACAAACATATCTATCATATTAGCTTCACCATCAATTTTACACATAAGCTTCATGCCTTTCAAAGATTCCATTGCCTTCTTAAACCCTATATAGTCCTTATATTGCACATACGCCTCAAAGAAGTCCAACTTTTCGAAAGACGAATCCTGTATTCCGGTGATGTGCGACTTCATTTGCGATCTGTAAGGATCGCAAATTGGTATGTCGACTTGCCGGACAGGTCCGTACTTCTCAAATATTTTATAGACCAGTTTGTCTGAAGGAAGCGATTCGAATTTGTTTTGGCCGATGAACCATTTCGTTGGTAGATTCGATATATGTATTGTATCTGGTCTCTCGCCAGGCTTCATTTCATTCATATCCTTGGCATCTCGAAAATACGAGTCCCATTCGTGCTGAACGGGAAACGCGTTCCTGCTTTCCACAGCTTTCACACCCATCAAGTCTGTGAAATCCTTCAGCTTAATTGTCTTGTTGTGCAGTTTATCAAGGACTTTTATTAACTTATTTCTATGATCCACTTCTGCATCAAATTCGATTACCTCTAGGGTAGTTTTAGTCACTTTAAGCACAACAAATTCGTCCGGTTTTATAAGGTCCTTCAACTTTTCCATGATCTCGTAATGTTTGATTGTTTTACCCAGGATCTTCTGGGTTATATGTATGGAAACGTTTAATCGCGCTATTGGTTTTAAATACAACTTCTGCGGCAAATAAAGCGGCACTGCGTCCGAGGTATTCGGGCATCTCTGAAAAGCATTCATGATTTTAATATAACCACAACAGATGGTCGCGTATAACAGAAATCCGATTGTGAATCTATGGAAAGGTATGAGTGGTTTGTATTAGAATCAAGAAAGCTTTTCAGAGACTGTTCAATCCCATTGTTTATTCAATTATTTCCCCAATGCACTACACTATACACGATAATGAATACAACTGTCAAATTTGACATCTGAAAAATCAACTGGTACAAATTGGTACATATACAAACTGAAGTTAGCCATTTAGCACAGTTAATATTATGATATACAGGGTGCTTTATTTTTCTTGTATGTTAAAAAATCTTTGAAATTCAAACTATGTTCTGTAAAAAAGCTGTTGTACGTATGAACAATCTTTTGGTATTATCAATTTCAAGGTATTTCAATAAATTTAATTCATGTAAATAAGACCAATCCAAAAATGAAGGACCAATTTACATAACAATATCGTTATTGTAATCATCAAAGCAAGTATTAAAGCATATGCCAAAATATTAAAGGGAAGAGATGAAGTTGTAGACCAAAGAAAAGATTGATTAAATACTTGTTTTTAAGCATATATGCAATATAATTGCTTTTAAATATATAAAGTTTCTTATATTTATAGAAAACAAATTTTAATTGAATCCATTTGATGTGTTTATATATAATTCTGAGAAGAATCTAACTAAAACCTATGAGATGATTTAACAAGTATATGTACAAGAAAAAATTTGAACTTAAACTAATTGATTTCTTTATGCACCCAAAATTTTGTAGTTTTTTTTTGTAGATGTATCATGTATGTATGTTTGAAATTTAAATAAGTAGCAAATTTATTTTTACACAAGGAAAACAATAAATATTCAATAAATAAAAAAAAACGAAAGGATAAAGAGAAACAGGAAACAATTATATATATGTAACTTGATAATAACAGAATTCAATAATTCTTCTTTTCGATTCTTAGGTAAATACATTAAAAGTAAATAAAACATCATTCTTAGGTATTACCTATACAATAAAAATAAATGTTATGCTTAGGTAGAAAAAATTGTGATAATTATTTTCTTTAAAAACAGAATACATATTCTTCGTAGAATTACCAAGAAAATAAAATTAAAGCTAACTCTCTTCTTAATAATCTTTTTTGTTGTCGTAATTATATGTTTCGATAACAGTAATCAGTAAAAATAACAATAAATGGCTTTTGGTTTACGTTTCCGTATCCATCGCGAGCAAATGAAAATATGGACCGAATGAATGAATAGAAAATAAGGATATAACCGTCTGTGATAATAGAATCGTCTTTGTAAATATAAATAGTATAAATAAATAAATAATGTGTCCATAAGTCCATCTTCCTCGTCCGACTGGATAGTAATTTTCTAAATGAGTTCCGGCGACGGACTGCAGCTGTCCGCCTGCAGCCTCTGAATGACATCGTTGAGTTGAGCGTGATTGTGAACACTGTAAGACACTACCATTGGTCCGTTCGCTGTAATTAGACAACCCCCGCAATTCAAATGTTTTTTCTTAACGCAAACCCACACCCTTCGGTTCTCCACTGTGTGACTATACGTGTACATGTGGCCGTTGTGTATCAGGACTGGTTGGCCCTTGCGACTCTTCAAAAACATCAACCCTCCTACAAAGAGAAAGAAAACAGAGCATGATTTCAAATCGTTTATTCAATAGTCATATATCATCAATATCGTCATAGTATTCAATATTTTTCCCTGTGAAGATCATATTTTCCCACCCACTAGAAGACCAAAATATAAAACGCGCAAGGAAAAACATCGGTCATCAGCGTTCTTCATCATTTAAAATAAATATACGTTACAATTAATGCCATAATAACAAAAATGTTATAAATAGGAGTACAGAGATTTTCAATTTTTTGCTTAATATTCACAAATTTTACACAAAAAAAAAATATTGGAATTCAAATTATATATCACAAACTAATACTAAAATTCATTACCAAATCAAGATGCGAATCAACTTTACTAATTTCAATTCGTGTTGTGAGAGTCAACACTATTTAATACTTTTTTTTATCTCGAATTAGACACACATAATTTTATAATTTAACATATTAAATGGAAACGCTTTTAACCTGTAAAAAAGGATTTTGAAGTTACGCTCACGTTTCATATCATATTTAGAAACATATCGAGACGTAGCATCAAAAAATGGCATAAAAATTGTTTAAAAAAATGGGAGTAATAACTAAAAATAATAATAAAAATAATGAAGGCGTATTTATCTCTATCGAGCGGCATCCATGAGGACCTGCCTTAGGTTTTCAATAGCAACGACAGTGTCTTCCTCGGGGTGAATTATTTCCGGTACAATTTCGTGGTTATGATCCTCTGGCCATTTGACGATACTTCCGTTGATCGTCCAACAAACCGCCGGACACTTGAGTGTCCGATTAGTTTTACAGTACCAGAAACATTTGCTTTTATATGTACTCTTCTTGAAAAATGTATGACCGTCGATAATAATTCTCGGTAGTCCCCTCTTACCCATAATGCATTGTATTGTCCCTGCACAATAAAATAATACATTAACATTTAAATACCTACAGCAAATAATCTACTTATTATGTTTTCAGTTTAATTTTCGTTTACGTTTATGCACAAATACGCAAGACATGATGATCATAGAATATGTAATTTAGATATAGAGAAATCAGTAAAGAAAAAAAGGAGATACAAAACGATGTAAATCGTAAAATGCCATTGAACAAATAGATAATGAGGTATTTAAAGTTTGTGTATTACTTTATATATCTTTTCAAGGGCTCTAATTTATAAATTAAAAAAAATAGTAATATGTAAGTAACGTACCTGGACTAGAAGTGTCCGTCATAGTCGGCTTGTAATCCCTGGAATGATCGCTGGATTCACCTAAACTCGTGTCAGTCATATTGGACATGTCCATCTTATCATCGGAGGAATGATGATCATTGTAAGGATTTTCGTCGGGATCAAAGGGTTCTTGTTTGGGCTTCAGCAGCGGCGGATTCGCAGGTCCAATCTTGTTCTCAACGGTATCATCCAATCTGGGCTGCTTACACAGAGGCGACTTCGGCGACGGCGATGGGGAATTAGAAGAGTTTGGAAATTCAAGTGGCTTCAAGTGTTGTATTGGTTTGATCATCTTTTTAATAGGCCTCGTCCTCTTCATAATTGGCTGCTTATCAGCGACGCCAACAAAAGGCTGTGATATATGCTGATTATTTATCGTCTCTTGCAATCCATTTTTATTATCCTGAAAATAAAAAAATATCTATTAACTTGAACACAAAAAAAAACTAAATATAATTTACTTCATTGTTTAAATTGCTGTTGTCTGTAAGGCCTTTGACTTTCAATATCTCTGCCACCCTCATGAAGTTGGGAATCTCCTCCTGGCTTACATTCACTTCACCTTGGTACATGAACTGCAGCAGGTTTGTAAGCGCTTCATAATTGATGTCATGAAGGATCACAATGGGATGTTTGCATGGATTGTTCCTGAACAGCTCCTTGAAGTATGGACTGCATACAGAGAGGACTGCCTTGTGTGCTTTGATGTACCTTCCCTCAGCGGCAAGGGTGACATCCACCAAGTCCTCATCTTTGAAGAGGGCTTGGAATCCAGCAGTGAGATTGTTTTGAAAGTTGTTCCAGCAAAGGGAGAATTGCTCAGTTTCCATAATTACCTACTCCTGCAAATCAGGTTTGTTTTTGTTTACCACTGATAAATAACCTAAAAGGTAAAAGATGCTTTGTATTAGGAGGATTTAGGAAATGCTTGAGAAAACCGCGTTCTCATTGCTAGCAATGGCTCGATTTGAGATTGTCGAAAATGAAGGAAATGAAAAGCTTTTGATATCGTTACTACTTACAGTGCATATACATGAGTCGCCTCGGTTTGGAACTTTGGGATTTGTGTCTTCGGTATTTTTAAAACGCCAGCTAAAAATGGAGGACACAAATCCCGTCGCAGATTTTTTTCTACCACCACTTTTGCAGAGCTGCTCTGAATCTCTTCTGTCGCCGGGTACGAAACGAAAATACTTTGATGACGGTTAACCATACGAGGGACGTTTGTTTACAACGCACTTCGCCGGATCTTAATTGCTTTTAATTAGAACGTGTTGTTTGTGTATAAATTATGATTATGATGCAGCATGCCCCGGAGTGTCTGATGAACGGCTATCTTCACTGGAGAAAGATAACAGATAAAAACAAAGTCGAATACCCTGATCCCATCATCTGCCACTTGCTCCAAATCTTATGTTCCCCCTTTGTTTGCATTACGCATATACCGCTTATTAGGAATAATTAATTACCATATGCTGATGCTACATATTCATAACGCAACAGGAATTATTTGACTTATATTATGCAACCAAATATACATCACACATTCAAAAATAATAAATCCTGTAGACGTTTATTAATATAGTATAATAGTTTGGATTTCAGAACTAACATTTAACCAACAAGTAAACTTTCAAATTCGATAGTTTTGAACCTTTATTTCAAATAAGAATTATGAATCCAGGTGAATTTTTATTATTTAATCATTATGAAATTCTCTGTAAATCTGATCATATTTTCAGCAATAATTACCTATATCATAATTAGAAATACAAGCAAATAAAATGCGCAGCAAAACAAAGCATTTACAAATCAATAATAAAATGCTGATAATGAACCAACATTACATTGTTTTTATGTTTTGTTGTTGCCTTCTCTTTGGAAAAAAAATTAGCTACCTCCGTCAGGAAAATGCCTTGGTAGATTTTAGATACGTCCTAACAACGTCAAAGGCCAATCACGAGTATTGTTATTGTCTTTAAAGATAATTTTAATATTCTAAATTGCTTTTGAGTATGTTAAATATAATGAATGTTGTGTTTTCCGTGCGTATGTTAAGTAATTATCCATTTATGTTCATTTTAAAATAGTTTTAAAACAAAAAAAAATATTTCTTAGCTAATTTATTTGAATAGCGATCGACATTGATGTTTCATACTCGATTTCTCCGTAGCTTTATAAAGACGTATTATTAATAAGTAGCAACTAATACATTGATTCGTTATAAGTGAGAAGAATAAAACATGATTGAAATCTACCAAATATGGATGGACATGTAAATTCAATGTCATCGGAGGTTTGCCCTAATTTTCAAAGTTCCCCATTTATAGTTTAAACAAATTCATTTCCGTTTAGGATTACATTCGCATGCATCGATTGAATAAAACGAAGCCAATCAACATTAATTAACGTGCTCGAGTCGTCGATGTTGTTGCAGTTGATTGGAAGTGAATCTGGTGCGCTCATTTAAAAGAAAACAATTTAGCGTGGGAGACGGTCAATAACCCATGTAAAAATACCGATTTCTGCGTATCCGACAGAAAAAAAACTTTTATTTTCCGAGGCGAAAAACTCTGGGAGAAAAAGGACGAAAAAAATCAATAATTCGCAGGCGAATCCCCGCTTTACTGCGGCACAGATAGTGCACAGCTATAAATACAACTGTAAATATAGCCGTTGCAAAATGCTGAAGCCGTGGAAACGAATCCTTCTTAGAAAAAACGTACATCAAGCATTTGTGTATCTGAAATAGAACGCCCCATTCGGGCTTTAGTTCTGTGGGGGGTTTTCGTAAGGAGAGGCAGGACCAGACGTTCCGACTACAAGAAACAGATTAGTGAAGCCAAGCTAATACATTGTTTAGCGATCGATAATTCAGTGTCAGAAGAATTCAGATTTTGACAACTTCAGTGCCCTTAAATTCAGAACACTTGATCAGGTAATATCTACAATCTACGTAAATTATAAAATGCTTGTTAAGAAAGGTCCAATGTACGTGATATTTACAAAGTAACTTGTTCAAGTTTTTGTTAAATTAGTCATGAAGAGTAAGCTTATAAAACAAATACTTGGAAAGTATCACTTAATGTATTGCTGCGTTAATAATTGTTAAGAAATTGCATTTCTTTTTAAATATTTCGATCAAATTACAAATTTAAAGAGAATTTCCTTAATAAACCTTAGTCGACGATTAATGAAATAATTTTTATGTTTTTTTTTTAGAAGACGATGAAGACTCAGAAAATAAATTTGAGGCAACGTGCGGTGTACCAGACCATAGCCGACGTCCAAGATGTAGTCAGAAACATCTGCTTCGGCTTAATAATCTTCACAATGATCGTGAAACATCTGCTGAGAAATCTGACTGCGGTGGATTTGACTTATTCGAAGTACGGATTCGTATGATTAAGCCGCAAACTTTGAAGACCCAAAGAGCCTGTGATCGTTTAACTTATTCGTATTTGCGAAACTCGAAAGTCCGACAAATTTGGGCGAGAGTTTATATAATTTTCGTTACCCATTTTGTACATACACTATATGTTATTGTATTAGGCGTATGAGCATTTCATAACGCCATGATTGGAAATTCGCTTTCTACTTAAGCATTAAGAAACTCAATATATATTATTATTTTTAATTACGTATTATTTATTTAAATTATGTTAAGCAATTAAAATTACTTCCAAGTTACAAATTATAAATTGTCTTTTTACTGAAAAAAATCTCGAACATAAAGCGCACATTTAATTGAAAATTTGTATATCAAAATATGTATGCAATTGTAACAATACACAATGGTCTGTATTCCTTGCTGAATGTTTCTTCTTTGGAAAAGTGACAAGAAATGTTTAATGTTATATTAATGTTTAAATATTTTTACAATTCTAAGTTGGAAGATCTCTAAAAAATATATAATGAATAAAAAATAAGTACTTTAATGCAATAAGTTGTATAATATCCATTAGATAGATTTCTATAAATCATTTACCTTTATACCATTATATACACACTTTTGGTTTGATGATATTTCGAAAAAAACAAATATAATGTTTAAGATCAGGTGTATTTTAGTTATCTGACGATTGCTGATGAGCAAAAAATGATATTTCAGTCGCAATCTTATAAAGTTTGTAAATTTACGATTTTTTGATGGGGCCCATTCAAAGCTTTGCGGGCCGTATGCGGCCCGCGGGTTGGTCAAGCCTGTTTTGTGTGTTCATTTTATTGTTGTGGTATTATGGTACATAAATATGTAATTATTTGTATGGTATCCATGGTGTCGGGGTTATCATACTCAAGAATTTTTATTGTATAGAAACTGAGTGTATTGGGTTGTCTAAAACTTGTATCTAGATAACCATATTTCTGTTTTTACCATTTTCCACAATGGCTGATCAATCTGTGAAAAGTGAGTCCTCTTCTAATGGAAAGAAAGCGAACGGCCAAAGGAATCCAAGTAAAAATCATAATTTGAAGAAGCGCGCCCCGCAGAAGCCTCAGGTGGCTGAGAACGTTATCTATGTTAGCACAAAAACTCATATCAAGGTAGATATTTCTAGGTTAAAAGCAATAAAAACAACTAATTTCTGTATATTTGTTTCAGGCTTTATTAGAACGTTGCACGAAGCTGATAAACAAGGATAGTAACGAAATCATTATATACTGCTTGGGTGCTGCCATTCAACGAGGAATACTGTTAGCACTGCAAATTTGTGAAAAACATATTAGTTATGATTGTGCAACAGAAACATTAACTACAAATCTCATTGGTAATAATATAAATAAAAATAATATATGTTTGATTATTTTTAAATGTTTATTTGATGTGTTTTGCAGATGATTTGGAGCCTGCAACAGATGATGCAGATTATGAGCTGGTGCGTAGGCAAAATTCTGCTTTAAGAATTAGAATTTTCAAGAAGGATCTTCTGTCATAATGTTCTTCACGATACACGAGATCATCAAGTGGCTGGGGCTGACGATCTTCGAGATATGGACCAACCTTATCTCCATATTGATCTTCACCATAACATTCGCGCTCAAATACAATCCGAATATTGAGTTGTACAATAACGATTGGTGGCTCATCTTCTTCCCGCTCTTCGCAGGGGATGCCTTGAACGCTTACTTTTGTACGATCGTTTTTATACGGATGTTAATTGAGCTGACACTGAAAACTGCCCTCTTGAGGGTCTGCTGGTCGGCTACTTTCCTCCTGATGACCTTCCTGTTTAAATTGCTTCTATGCAAGAGATTGACTGGACATGTGACGCTGGATTTCTCCGAAATCTTTGCGCCTATCTACATTTTATTACAATTAATTGCTGTACGCGCCTGTCAACAAAGTTAAAGCTGTTTCTATTTTTTAAGTGAAGAATAAATTAATATTTTTTTATAAATTATGTTTAAAAAATAGTTATTTGTATCATTATTTCTATACCCAAAACACATAGTTTTCATGTAGTATACTTATCAATATGTTACATTTAAAAATCAATATGGAAGTAATAGATTGCATAACTTATCTATTAAGTTATATTGTAGATAAAACACATGAAATACATAATACAGTGGAACCTCGCATAACGAGCATTTCGCATAACGATCAAAATGAGTTGTAAGAAAAATGACTCGCTTAACAAGTAACGTTTCGCAAAAATGAATGACGATGAGAAGAGAAGTCCCGGATTGCGCGCCTGCTACATCTTTTTTAAAACTTGTGTACACATAATGAAACGGATTAAACTCATTAAGCGAGGCTTTACTGTATACATATAACTAGAATTCCCTCTTTTTTCCCTCTTCACTTAACTTAGGCATCTTGCGCAATTTCGCCATCCACTGTTTTGTTATAATAATACCCTAACTCTACTAAAGTTCATTACTGCTGCTAGCGTAGTTACTGGATGGGATTGGAAAGAATGGTGATCCACAAGTGGCGACAAAGCGTAACACAAAGTAACAAATTTTCAAACCGGGGTCTCTGCGGTTCAGCACAAAGCCGTCACCTTTGAGGACAAAATATGAGTGAGTGGGAGTTAAACATTTAAAATTATATATCAATGTTTGTGTACTTAATGAAGCAAAGCAAAACACTGTACATTCTCCTGTTATCTGTAGCAATAAGAGTCTGGACGGATGTAGGTAGTGGGATCTTATATCGGATTAGCATTCCCAAAAGTCTTAAATCGGTAGGGTGATTAGAAATACATTCGAAGAAGTATTGGTCTACCGTACCCACCGACCCGCAACTACATCTGTCCGAATCCTGCCACCAGATTCTGGCCAAATGCACCAGAGTCCGCATGTGTGCGGACCTTATGCGACTCAGTTTTGCAATTTCCGATTTCCTGATGAAGCCCAGCCTCTCAAACCCGGGTGTCCTATGATTGTCCTGATAAAACGAGACTCCCTTGTATACGCTTTCCTCCCCAAATCTACGCTGCCATACCGATCCCGAAGAGCCTCTAATATAATGGAAAATGTCACTATAGTCAACAATGATACTTCTGTCTAACAGTCTATTGCCGTTTCTAGCAAGCTCGTCCGCATCCTCATTACTCCGTATGCCTTTGTGATTGATACTATAGTATCATAGTATCAAAAAACCTAGATTCAAGATTTAAATAACATTGCAATACAAAATACATTTTTCTTCTTTAATATTTTACATAACTTTATTTCTATTTACTCTTTAGAAGCTTTTATGAAGTAAAATATAATTGAAAATTTTGTTAATTACAAATTAAAACTGTTGAAGATATGAAATTGTATAAAACTTGGTCATTTGTTAGATGTTCCTACCCTGAGATGATTTGTATGTGGTATGTCTATAATTATAAATCTTGATGTCTATATAAGATTGTGATGGAAATTGTTGAATAAAGAGTAGGAAAATTAGTGGAGGGAAACCCAGGATTCTATATTTATATACAGCGCAATACGAAAAAGTTTGTAATTATTACGTTTCTATAGATCTAAAGGTAATTTCCATTTATTTTCTTATATACGCATTTTCATAATAAATTCCAATGCATTATTTTTAGTTTTATGATGAAATTTTTGTGAATTCTTCTAAATCTAATTTTATGTTGCTGCTACTAACATTTCTTTCTCAGATATAAATACTCGGAAAAGAAAAATATGTTGTGTAATAAATATTTTGTTGCAGCTGCGGCAGATTTATAGGGAAGGGAAGAACAGTACTTAAAGGAAGTTCTCCAAGTGGGAACTTTGACCAACTTAAGTGATTTTCTGGATACTTTTATTAGAGGGATAGGGGAGGTCGATTGGAATATTGCGCTGCGGTGGCTTGTAAAATCATTGGTGCATGAGCACCAGGTGGTTACCAGACCGAAGACCTATGGAGGAGGTAGACAGTAGATTGCAGATAATACTCTGGATGGCCGATTTGTTCGCGGTATAAGGTATTATGCAACCAATTGAGGATGTATTTCTGGTGGAGAGAGGCGGCTTGAAGAGGAAAAATAGAAAGAAGCGCGCGCGTAGCGCGTCCACGTGCTCTCATTCTTCCCCCATGACGACCGACGTGCAATCAAATGCAATGCTTCACAAGTTGTTTCCTTGGAAACATAACAAAACAAAAATCATGGCCGAGCCAGTGTTGGAGGAAGGTGAGTCCCGATCTGTGATCGTCAATTTTTTCCGCTTTCCGCAGGAAACTTGGACATCCGCCTTGCGGAAATCCAATTTTCCGCACACGCTTTTCCGGGTGGTCGGGCCAGTTTATTTCGAAGACTGCCGCGACGCCGTCTTTTCGATATAAATAAACACAGATGCGTGCAGCGTCGCCGTCGCGTAACACCCTCTTCGCCTCCCCCAACACCGCCTTCGCAAGAACAACAACAACAACAAAAGTACAACACACAATGGATCATCTTTTATCAAATATCAATGTTGACAATTTCCCAGTCAAAGTTGACAAGAAAGTTAGCAACAATCAGAGTTACTTGAAGTCTAAAAATAACACCGGTATTGTGTCATCAATACCTGCTTTCGCATCGGATCGAAGGTGGATTTTTAATGCGCAACCTTGGATCCGTTGCACACTCTTTTTTTTTCTCCATTTGTTGTTGTTAATTTGTGATGGGAATACATTAGCATAACGAAATTAGTACCGTTTTGCAAATAAAAAACCGAAAGATTCAACAATAATACACACTCACGCACCTGGATCATTCATTCAACATACGCCTCTCAGGTTTTCAATTCAAACGTAGATGTGTCTTATGTGGGTTTATTTATGTTTCTTTGAGTAGTTTTAAAATATTGAGACGCAAAAAAAATATATTCGTCTAGTCTTATTTAAATAATTAGACCTATTAGCCTATTAGTGTACATAACATTTAAAGCATTTTTAATATTAAAATTCCTTCAATTTTATAACTATATAAATAATCAATTAATTGAATGGTTCTTAATTTGGTATTTGAATAAATTATCTTACTAGAAACTTATAAAAATAATATTTATTGCCTATTAAAAATAAAGGAAAGTTTTATACTTAAAAAATATAAACTTTTACAAATATTTATATTACTTTTTTATAAACATTTGGTTAGAAATGATTTATAAAATAAGAATATTACAAATTTTTCTTAGAAAATTGAGAATATCTAAAATATTAGTTGAAAAATAGCTATGAATCACTAATTTTTAAAAGGTATTACTTATTAAATTATTTTCTTATTGAAAAAAGTTAAATATAATATTAAAAGATAATAATTTTGGTCTGAAATAATTTGTCTTAGCATTTGGAAAATCTCATATCAAAAGTTGCGCAATAAAATGTTTTTTTTATATGTAATAAATATTATGTTATAATAATTAAAGTATTTTTTAAATTGAAAGTAATATAATTATTAATATATTTTTATTTTGTAGATGTAAATCTGGAGGAGAAACTTACACCGTGCGGGATATGCGGGAGGACATTTTTGCCGAAACCGTTGGCGAAACACGAGATCGTTTGCGAGAAAAACGCGACAAAGAAACGGAAAATCTTTAACTCGTTGAAGCAGCGCGTTGAGGGTACAGATCTAGCTCACTTCCACCAACGCACATATCTAAAGAAGCCAGAGATAGTAGAGGAAATTCCGAAGAGCGCCTGGAAGGAAAAGCACCAGCAGCTGGTGAACGCAATACGCGCAGCGAAGAGCGCTCCGCAGAGGATCGACCATATCCATACAAAACGTGTTCCGGTCACCAGCTCTGGTTGCGAGAGATGTCCGACATGCGATCGACAGTTCGGCCCGAAGGCTTTCGACAGACACGTGGAGTGGTGCAAGGAGAGGAAGGCGAGACTTCCCCAATCCCCGGCGAACATAATGCAGGCCAAGGAGAGGCTTGAGGCTAGGATCAAGTACAGGGTTCCACCACTGAACAAACCCAAGCGATCGGTGAAAGAGAAATACCAAAGCCCGTACAGGAACGAGAACATTCCTGTGTCTCGCAGCACCGGAAATTTGGATCGAAAGCCGAGCATTCGCAGAGACGGCGGAAGCACTTTGAACTTGAAGCCCGTCAAGCCAGAGTCGCGGAGTCCAGAAGCCAGATCGGAAACGCCCAAGGCTAAAGTGGAAGCCGCGAAGAGGTAATTTCATTTATTTTTTTCCCCCTCATCTTATTAGCACGTCCTTTCCAGGAGCAGGGAGAAAGGAAAAAATACGGCGGGAGATTTGCACTTGATCCATTCTCCTTCGCTCTGCGTAATTTTTTAACGTTTGTTCTTTTTCATTTCTCCGCTGTTTGTTTGCTATTTTTAAATTACCCTGTTATTAAGTCTCGATCCTTTCTCCTTTCTTCCTCTCCAGTTGCGGTAGACGCGCGACTACTAAACTGAACAGGACCGACGTGAACACCATCTCCAATGGTCTAACCGTCTCCCAGTTGAACGGTCCACAACCGTTCCCCAAAAAGTTGGTCACCTGGAGCGACACCTTCGCCAATCCCGTATCCCCGAAATTGCAGCAGTCGCGCAAAAAGATTGTCCTTCGAAGGCCGCTGAAGAAACCCCAGAAGATAGACGAGGATAAAAACATTTGGAACAACTCCTCCGGTTTGATCATCGCGGAATGTGGCAAACCGGAAACCCCTCCGACACCACCGGAAGTATGCGCCATAAAGCAAGTCTTCGTCTTCAACCATAACATCTCCACCAGAGAAATTCCGCAAAATTTAAACGTCGAAGATAGTTTAGCGCGACAACGAAAACTTTCCGCCTCTAGTGATGATAATATCAGCTTCGATTCGGTGGAAATGCCGAAGAAAGAGAATTGGGGAGATTCGTGCAAAATCACCGATTTTATAGAATTAGATTTACCAATTTTAACCAATCAAGAAGCCGGTGATCAAAATCCTAATATTATCCCTCAAGCAAACACAGATGATGACTTATGCGAAGACGAAGCTGAAACTAAGTCTCTAGTATTCTTGAAATGCCCATTAAGCAATTCAGAATGCGCCTCAAGCGCTTCTAGTATTAAATGCAACATATCAAATAAATCATTCATTGAACATGATTCAAATGAAGGAAAAACGCATATAATCGAACCTGTGGTTAATTACTCCAGCGAAGATAAATCGTCCTGGAAGGAGTGGAAGAGTAATTCGTTTATTAGCCCATCCGAAGAAGCTGTTCAAAATGAAGTTGATGACGATTACGGGATTCCCTTAGAAGCTTTAGTTTTGAAGAAAGGTTATCCCAATGAATACCAGCTTTTCAGAATTAACGAGTGCCGCGAAGAGTTTCTCATATTCCTTAAACCTTCCGATCAAAATCAAATTTTAGGTCAGGTCCCAGTTGAAGATAATTGCATTTTATTAGTACCTGATTACAATAAATCTCCGACCGGCAATAAAATGTCAGATCAAAGCTTAAATACACAAAGCAGTGATGGTAAAATACAATATTTCCATGCAACGGAAGAACCTCGATTTGAGCCTAAGCAAAGTGATGTATTCGTATTTAAAGCAACGATCGCAGATGAAATTACTGATCAATTGAACATAAATTCTTTAAACGATAATAATACGAAAGAAATAGATGCTAAAGATGAGTCTTTACCAAACGAAGCTATTGTTGATGTTGATCGTAGTACTTCTTGGGATTTGAAGGAAAATAGTTCTATTGAAGATATGGAGAAATTCGAGAAGTTGTTAAGTGCTAATTGTTGTGATGAAGTAAACTGTACTACAGAAGTTAATAAAATCTTACCAAATCAAAATTCTTGTGAAGTCTCGCTGCAAGCAGGTGAGAAGGATTTCGTTTCGGTAAAACGCATTATAATGCCGGATTGTAGGATTCCATCAGATTCTAGTGTAAAGTCAAAGTTCATCGAGGACTTTCAGAAATACGGAGTAGTATTGAATGAAAATAATGAAAGTGTTTGTAAAATTAATGATAAAGAGTTAATGGAAGATACGTCAAACTGTGATGAAGAAATCCCTAGAGATAAGTTGAAAACTAGTGACAGTGAAGTTATATCTCCAAATTTAGAAAGTGAAAATTGTGAATGCAAAATTGCTAATTTGATTGATTTAGAGGAGGAAGGAAATTCCTGTAAGGATAATCTTAATAAACAATTAGAGGTTAACCTTCCTGAAAATGATAGTTTGAAGCAGATTGAACTGTTTTATGGTAGCGAGGAGGACGATTCGAATTTCTTTTGTTACAAACCTATTAAATCAGACCAACAGAATACCATTCTTCTCAATAAATTGAATATGGACGTGTTTACCTTTGGGTCGCAATTCATTGAGGAGTTGAAGTCCAATACCAAGGGTGACGATGTGTTTAAGTTTGAGGTCACTTTGTTGTGCAAAGACAACAATGTAGATTTTGATAGCTTTACTGGTGGAGATAGCTTGGATTCACCAAAAGACAGTTTGGATAAGTCGAGCGATGAGTCCAAATATGCAGAGAGCTACGCGCCGTCGTTAGATTGCACAGAAAACAATGAAGATTCATTGGAGGTGGCACTTCGGAAAAAATTGGTCCTGCAGTTGAGGGATAACTTGAAGTCGGAATTAAAGTTAGAAGGAGTTTTACCGGAGGATGTGCCTATTAATGGATTGGAGGTTGTCAGGGAGGAGTCCAAGGAGATGGAGAGTTCAAAGGGGGATAACCAGTTAAAGGTAAAAGAGTCGTTCAGAGATATGGGATCCATGGATATGATTCCAACGAAATTGAATCAAGTGTCTTGCAATAGTTTCAACAATAACATTACTTCGGACGAGGAAACCACGATGGAAACATCGTCGAAGTTCTCATTTGATAAGTTAAACTCTCAGAACATAGAGAGAATGATTTTCAAGAAGAGCGACGATTGCAACAGTTTAGAGGAGGTGGAAAGTTTACAGGGGTTTTGCGATTGGCATTCCATAGCGTTAAGCAAGGCCAGATTGGAACGGGAGTTGAGGACTTGTTGCAGCGAAATCGCGTTGTCCAAACGTAGTAGTGAATTCAGCGTTGGAACGCGCAGCGAGACAAATTTGGTGAAGAACGTGGCTAGTTGTTATAAATCTGAATGCGAGTTTAAAAACAATGAGTTCGATGCGGCGAGGATTTTGGAAATAGCCGGGATTGAGTTCATGCGAGAGATTTCCACGCCTAAGGAAAATAATAGCATTGGAACGTCGAATCCGAGATTTGAGAATGTATCGAAGAGACCTAGTAGCGTGGATAGTAGTATTTCTGTGGAGATTTCGGAATCTAAGAAGATGAAGATTGATTGGCAAAATGCGAAGAGTGGTTTGAAGTTACCCGAGATTGAAATGGACGTTAAGAAGGGGAGATCGGCGAAGGTGCCTGAGTTGCTGGTCTTGCCCAAAATAGATAACAATGGTAAAACTAACAGGTGACCATTGGAATGTTCCTTAAGCCATTTTCTCACTCTTTTATTGTTGTCTTTTATTGTTTCTTTTTAATTTGTATTATTCTTGTGCTTCATATAACTCATGCTTACAGACAGGAAACCTATGACCCGTATAAGACAGCGCACAAACAGTTCCTGGAACTCCTCGACGAGGATCAGGATACAATCAAACCGACTCTAGTCGTGACTAAAAAGAAGAAACCAACAAAACGGGCTTCGGTGATTGATCCTCCGTGCGATTTCCGCGACAATTTCGAACTGATCGAGAACTTCATCAACGAAAACCTCAACGACGAAAATCTGTTAAAGAAGCTTGATTTTGACTCTATCTCTTTATCGAGTAACAAAACCACATTCTCAGAGACGACGTTGTATGAGATAGATCCGCGCTTGATCAACGAATTCGATAATCTTTCTATACCTGACATTCTTCCCACCGACGAGAACAGTCCTTCGCCGCCTAAAAAGTCTTTAGTCCCCCGCAAGACCAAAACTCCTAATGTAAATCGTTCCAGTTCCATCCGATCGGCAAGTCCTCGAGATCGAATCAAGAATCTCAATACGCTGAAAAAGTCCATCACTGTTCTGGATACTGTAAAACCGAAAAATTTAAAGAACAAGGAGGATGTGCAGAATTTTCTTTACGAAAGGGAAATATCGCGCAGTCCCAAAAAGAAGCCGGACGTTGTAAGTAGAGTTTAACTTTGAGAGATTGTTTAGAGCGATTATTTTACTTGTCCCCTTTAGGTGCCAGTTCCAGTTGCAGATGATCTGTTTTCCATTGATGATGAAATGTACGAGGAGTACAAGAGGTACGAGCAGATGTATCTACAGGAGAAGGAAGAGAAGATGAGGAAAGAGCAGAAGATGCACAGCGAGGAGGAAACAATTTCAAAGATTAGCGGGGATTCTGCCTATGGAAGGTGAGTTTTGCTATATTTACTTTATTATATTTACAAAATTAATTGTCTAACAATATACAAAGGGTTATTGTTTTTAATTGAGTTTATATAGCTTTTTAGAAGTATCAAATATGATTGATTATCATTTCTAATATAGTAGTAAAATCCTTTTTTTATCAAAGTTTAATATTGTTGTTAAGAGAAAAATAAAGTGTATAAAATTAAAATAGTAAAAAATGAAATCAAGTGTCCGGTATGTCCAGTTATATAAGTCAACAAATAGTCAGGAAATTTGTTGTAACAAAATGTCGTTTTTTTTGAACGGCGCAACGGCGCCATCAAAATTCTCAGTGTCAGGCAATTATCCGCAATAAGAATGGGTCGAAATAGCGTGGACAATTTTAATGATTACGAGTTTAATACGGATGAAATCTTGAGCTCAGGCTCTGGCAGGCAAAGAACTCCCTTGAAACTAGCTTATGACAATTTCAAAGTCAAATTGGGTAGTGTCGGCAAAAAGTTGGGGTACTGCTCCGCATCAAGGACTTATTAAAACTTTCATTCAATAGATAAACTAATGTAAACTAATTTTGTTTTCAGCCTGAGTCGTAATAAGCCCAAGGTTCGCACAAAAGTTGTTAAACTTTCACCCCTAGAACACGAAAGTCAAACTTCCAGTGGATCAGAGATCTGCATCAGCGCAAAGACCATAGCAAGTGCAATGAAACATCCTCAAACCAACTTTTCATCTAACAAGGATACTGGTGGTGGTTGCTGCAGCGGTAAAATGACTAAATTTTGCCACGAATGCGGCAACAAATACCCAGTGACAACGGCTAAATTTTGCGTGGAATGCGGAGTCCGGCGATTGGTATTGTGATAATTTTCTTAATAATTTTCTTTTTATTTCCTACTTACATCTCTTACCTACCTATATACACACAAACCCCACATTAATTTATTTACCCATTTAAATTTAATTCTCCCTTTTTATAAATATTAATTACACACGTGTATTTTTTTCTCTGTTAAGTTTGTATCTTTCGGGTCGCTAAATTCGTCGTTCAGTTAACTCAAAACACACAAATTACTTAATATTTGGAAGCAACCTTTTCTTTAAAACAATATATATATACAACTTTTATTTCTATTTTTTTGTAGGATTAAATAAATGTGATTTGTACAACCAAATTTTGGGGCAAAAAAAAATGTTTAATTCAAACTGAATTTTAAATGCATGCCAAATCTAATAATGATAGTATTACATTTGGTACAACAAATAACTAGCTTCTAAATAAAGAAATATATTTTGATGATGGAAACTGAGGGTTTGATGGATTTTATTGGATCGCGGATGATTAAAAGTTAAGGTTTTTTAAGTAATAAAATTTGTGTTCTATTGATCGATCGATATGTTGTTATTGTTATTTTTTATTTTATTATATATTATTTTTTATTTGTGTGCATTATTAATGTATGGATGCTGTGTTAATGTTTTTACTTCGTTTCTTTTGTTTTTTTTTGCGTCGTTTTAAGATAATCATTAACACCATTATTATTATTACAATTACATTTTGTTTTACATGTTTTGCGTTACCATTCCAATGCTTCTTGAAAATAATTTCTTATGTAACAAGACTGAAATATAGAAACAAAAAAAAACATGCAATCGTTTGTTTCATTTTTAAATATAGTAATTACCTATTATAGTATCGAATAAACATGAATATTTGAAAATTCGTATTTAACTTATAAAATTATATTGAATCTTTAGCAATTTGTTAAAATGAATGTAGTTAAAATTAAAAATATATTTTTTTTCTTTTAAAACACATTACAATTTATTAAATTTCAGCAACATTTTCAATGCAAAAAATATTTTGGTAAAGTCAGGAAATTTTAATTTAGATCGCGTATTAAATGAATTATAGTGATTTATATTACAAAAACTGATCAATTTTCATATGTATAATTTTTCTTTTTGTTACAACATAAAGAAAAGTAACCTATACAAAAGTGATGAGTATTGCTTGAATGTTGGTTTATACTCACTTGGTGTTTCCAATTGCAAAACAAATCATTTTTGTATACATATAAAGATTACATTAAAGTACCAACAAGTATTTAGGTATGTTTCATGTCTCTCTATAATTGAAATAGTGACATAAGAAGAATAAAGTAAATTGAAACCAATTAAATATGTTGTATTTGTGATCGTTAAAATGTAAGTTATTTTAATTTTGTTATTATGTAACTGTAATTATATGTATTTCTGGAATTTTTTTCTCACATCACAAATTTATGTAAAAGAATATGAATTAATTCGTAAAATTAACTTATTGGTTTTAATTTATTTTTTGATGTTAATTTAATAATCAAAGACAATTTCCTGTTTTCTTATGTAAGAGTTGTTGTGGTATAGATTGAATGTAATAGTTTTTATTTTCTAAGTATTTATTAATTAACACGAAACATGGATTACAAACTAAGGAAAGGAAATTGTGGCAATGTGCTTAGCCGGAGAATTGGAACGCGTATCCGTTACCAAAGCTGTACGCCTTCCCAGGCTCATCGTTGTACTCAGGTTCTTTGCTCTCCTCGACCGAGTTTGAAGCACTCGTCTCCTGCACGTATTTGGGCTGTGTGTACTTTGGTTGCTGTTCCGGATATCTTGGCTGTGGCGAATACTTGGGCTGCTGTTGCTGCTCGATGTAAACGGGCCTAGGTGGTGGTGCGTGCTGTTGCTTCGTGTACAAAGGAATCCTGAAGTGGTCGGAATGCTGCTGTTGCTGAGCGTAATGGGGCACCCTATGTTCAGGTTGTTGGTACTGCTGCTGCTGTTGTTGTTGCTGCTGTTGCTGGATAGCTTGATGCTGCGGAGATTCTTTGGGAACGTGCTGTCCCTCTAAAATCCTGAAACCCTCTTTTCCTGCTGTGTACTTAACAGATATGGTTTTTCCATGCGGATCGACGTAGCTGTAGCCACCGTTCCTGGAACCATCCGGAGCTATGGCCTCGCTATGCGCCAAACCATTTTCAGCGGCGAATGCGAACTTGAAGCCTCCGTCGTGGTTCTGCGACTGCTGGTGGCTTAAAATCCTCGGAGGCGGTTTGCTGTACAGAGGTTGCTTGTACTCTGGCTCCTCGTAACCGCAGAGAGAAACAGTGACTAGAGACAAGTTGACGAGGATGGTGATCAGCTGGAACAGTTTTGAAATTATTGATTGATCTCGAAGCTTGAAAAGAGAATACGCACTGTTTTCGGTACCATGGCGATGCGTGAGCTGAAGAAAGTTATCGTTGAGGTATCTATCACCAAACGAACATTGTCACCAAATTGGACCACGATCGTTGACGACTCTATGCTTTATATACACGGAAAAGTCGAATGAGCGATATTTAGGGTCGAACACGCTATTTCTAGCCGTTCGTTTTCAGAGAAAGTCTTCGGTAATTGCGCACCGTCGCACATGCACTTACTTATATAAGGCTTTACGAATAAAGTCGCGATTTCGGTTTTTGCCCATTTTTTACTTTCATATGCGGCGGTGGCGGCGACTCCGCTTGCCTCGATTCAGAATTCCGCGCCTTTAATTACAATCGGATCGATTCATTACGCAATTATCACGCCGATAAACTTTTCCATTTATTTGATATTAACGTAAATTTATCTCATTGACTACGATTTCTTTGCTCTCTAATAGCTAACATTCTCTACGAAATCGCAGAAATTAATTTCGACAAACTTTTTAAACCAGACTTGAATTAAAAATACATTAAATACAATCACCTAGAAGTGAACGTTTTCTTGTGTTCTTACTTATTACTAGGTTACCCTTTCCTAAAAAAGCAGTAGAAAGAAAGTAACATAATTTGTTGCAACCAAATTGCATTATTTGTTATTAATGGTGCAGCCACACTATGCGTGACATGAAACATAAATGTTTATCAGTTAAACCAACTTGTGGCTGCAATTTCATGTCATAAAATTAAATGATAACTAATACTGTTGAACTGATAGAAATGTCTCTTGTTATGTCAACTGTAGATGCAACATTACTTAAGATTTCAGAAAAGGTAAATATACAATTAAATCAAATATAATAATGTTTATTATAAAAGTATTTATTTCGGCACGATAATTATTTCAACATTAAGAAAAGTCATTTTGATAGTTTGAATTACTTAACAATAAATGTATCCAAGTTTTTGTGTAATTCCCATGAGTACTATAGCTTCCTTATGATTTAATTAGATCATAATGTGTAAAAAAAAATGAAAGATTTGTTTAAGTCGATTTATATTATATTAAAGGTAATGTAAGTTTAGAACAGGAATTAACTGTTAGATTGAATGATGAAAAGATTTTATATAAAATCTAAACTAATTCTGTTAGATTCAATAATTTCACATATAAATTATATATAGAAAATGTTATTTATCTTTATTGTATCAATAATATTGTATGCTAAATTTGTGTAAAATGTATTACTTAATGTAGGATATGAAGCTAATTTAATGGAGGAAATTGCATTTGCAATGCGTACAACGTAATTGCAATCATTGACGGCAGAGAAATTCCTTTGAAATTAATTGGCGGAAAATAAGCGCGTGAGTCTGGTGAATGAACAGGAATTTTCTTTATTTTGTATGAAAAAAAAAGCAGCAATTGAACAAGTCATTAACCGTTTAATAAGCAATCGAGTTGTTAAATTGATAACATTAAAAATAAATAAATTAAGTTAGTTAAGGTCGAATTATTTCCACTTAGTTTAATAAAGTAAAAACAAGGAGTTTTATTTTTTCATATTGTTTCTATAGAAACAAAAACATTACAGAATAAGCAGATAGTTTTAGTTGCTATGGAGATTCGTACAGTTGTAGGAGATTAATACAGTTAATGGTGACTTTGTTATCTACCTATTAACTTTTGGTTTTTAAGTATAAATTTACAATTAATCGATTTTTAATTAATAATTTTTATTTTTTTGGAGAAATATTTGTAGGATAAATGAGGGATGGTAAGGATGAAAAATAAAAACAATTGTATTGATATTTTTTTTTGTTCCATTTATTAGCATCACAAATTTCGACAGAGACTATAAACACTTCGATACTTGCATAGTGTTTCCTTTTAAAATACATAAACATTGAGAGAATCATGAAATCTTAACCCGCTAAAGATATAAATAGACACATTACATAGGATTACAATCTAAGACTAATTAGTGAACTAGGCACGCGTTAAACCTATTAAAGCCGTCTTCAAAGTGACTTTCGAAAGAAGCACAATTCGCATTACGCGTTGCATTTTCAACTAACGATAAATATCGACTAATTCAGCTGCAAATCTAATGTGCGTTCCAATACAATTTATTACACTACAACATTATTAATATATTTGTTTTCCTTGTAATCCTTCTCCTCAAAATCGGCGGCTTCACAAACACCAACAAGACAATTAATTAATCCAATGTTTAAATAAGTATATACGTTAGTGTTTTTTTTTTGTTTTTGAAAAAAAACGTTGTTGTTCGGACCCTTACCAGCTTTAGAAACGAAAGAACGTGTTTCGGTTCACAAATATTTTCCTTTTCCAGGTTCTTTATTTCTCATGATTACAATGATGATTATTGTCTAGTCACAATAATCTTCACTCGCGCGAGCACAGGCTCCCATGAAGTTCGCATAAACTCAAATATATATTATATTTTACATATTATGTGGATACTTTCTCATACACTTATGTAACTGAACAAAAAAACAACGACAACACGACATCTCTTAAGCATTTTCTTTAACTAAGGTCCCCATTGAGGTGTTTTTTTTTGTAGATTATAATCTTAAGTTATTTTTGTTAATTATATATTTATTTATATGTTAGCCTTAACCATGCATTTCTTTTGATTGGCTCAGCAATTCTCTTAAGATTTTTTTTTCTTCCGCTTTCAGTTATCAGCCGTTATTATTAAGAAATATGTATATAGTAGACACAGATAGAACCACACGCATTATAATCGATTATATAGACTTATTGAATAACATATTACATCAGATTGCTGGTATATAACTAATGAAAATTACCGGTTTCAGGATGGAAGCGCTTCTTTTATTTCATTATTTTCTTGAATTTGATTCCGCGAGTCCTGAAAGTGGCGGAGGATCCTTATTGCCGCGTCTCCTTACTTTTCAAGGAAAGGATTAAGTGCAGCCATTCACAATAATCCATGACGCGGACTCCGCAAAAAATTTAAATTTTCGATACAAATGCCTTCTAAATGCAACTTCCAACCATCTTTCCGTCGTCCGCACTAACGAGACAAATAATCTAAATCTAAACTTATCGACTACATATTAACTTAGATTAACAAGATGCTCATGGAACAAGTACATTTAGATTTTGCAACGTTCATAAATATATTTTTTTTTATCGACTAGAAAATATATCTTCATATATGCATATATTTTTTTTGTTTGTTAATACGTTTACTCTAAATCTAACACAGTATATTTTATATTATATATTCTCCTATTATATATTTTGTTATATATTATATATATTTTTTTTGGTTTGTCATAATAATACTTAGTTCATAAATTTTGTTACATATTTGCTTATTCGTCTTCCTCTTCGTTCTGGTAGGTGACGTAACGGACTGAAGACTTCTCGCCGGTTACGAGTGACTAAAACAGTTAATTTTTTTTTAGTGTACGAAATTATTATTTATTTTGACTCAATAACATTCATTTTTCAAGTAAGAGATTGGAGACAATTCTTCATTTATTTCTTGTAATTTTTTTAATTTACTGACCTTCTTTTCTTCTTTGGTTGGTGGACTTCTCAAACAAAATAGCAGAGGAGCGTAGAGGAAATTGAGGATCGCAATACCGAAAAGCATCCATTCGAATCCAATGGTGTTCACAAGAGTTCCGCTCATGGCCGGCCCTGATTAAACAAAAATATTGGCTTTGGGTGAGATACAAACCTAAATCAACATTAAATACAATATTCAAACAACGTATTCGTATTCGATCAAGTATAAAAAAAATAAAAAAATAGTCTGCGAAACCTCGCAGATTAATTTTGTGGTGCCTTTTACATGCAAATAAATAATTTTTCAATGAAGATTTACTCTTTTTATTTGTAAAGTAAATTATAAATATGTAATGTGAAGTATAAATGTTAACTTGTTTAATTTAAATTATTATTGGCATTTTGATGATCCGACATATAAAATTAGAGGCTTTGTTGCATCGTTGTTTAATGAATCCTTTCAAATATGAGTAAGTTGAAGGTCTCGGAATGCGAGTTTCCTTATTTCGACTTAACGAATCTGGGTTGTTTCAGAATTCTGCGACACGGCCGTTATTCGGCGCCAGTTTTTGTATCAAGAACAAATGGAAAGTAGGAAACGCTAGTGAAATGAACTCAGAACGTTGAATTGATTTGAATATATGTAGGCTATGCCCGGAACAATTGGACAAATGAAGAAACAAAACGCTCGAATGGCAACGAACACGCGTTGCGTAACGCATGTTTCCTCGTTTCGCGAATTCCACGATCGGCGGCGTGGTCAGGGCATATCCTCCTCCTTCTTAAAGGAAGCAAGGAAAGTCCTAATTACGAGAATTCCACAGTCTGTGACGAGGTCAGAACGTATCCTCCACCTCCTCAACGGAAGTGAGATAGAAATGGAAAGTTTTCGTTTTGCTAATTTCAGTATTTCCGACGGTAAGCAAGAAGGGGGTAATTGGAACTTACCTATAGCAAATCCTAAACAGAAGGCAATGTCACCGATGGCGTAGACGCTTCCGTAGACGGCAGAATGTCTGATGTCCACAAGGAAGCCCAATTCTGGCATCATGGAACTGTCCACCATACCGATAGCAAATCCTAAACCGGCGTTCGGAATGATTAAGTCGTTGATGCTCTTAGCCATTGGTATCTGGAAACAAATTATTGTTTGTAAGTATCGACGTTTAGAGTTTTTCCTCGCTTCTTTGGTATTACGCAAATCAAGCTGACTCCGATGATGACGAGACCAAGGAGAGCAGCCAACCAACGTCCCATCCTGTGGCCCAACGGACCGAACAGGTTGGTTCCGATCAGGTAGGAAATGCTGGCCGGAAGGAAGGTAGCACCTTGCTTCCAACGCTCGGCGTCCATGGTGTCAATCATCCAGATGGGCAGAGATGGTTCCAGCATCGCGATACCCATGTTTGCAAAAGTTATAGCGCCTGAACATCAAAATCAAAAAAATGTGATAGTGAAAGTTATTATATTCAATTATATCAAAATGAGTGAGCTGCGTCATATAAGTTGAAGGTTGATATTCTTTAGATTTTAAAATTAAAATGTTGAACGTCGAAATATAGGTTTATTGACTTACCAGCAGCAACGAGGATGTAAGGATCTGTGACCAAAGCTTTCAGAGATGGTGGATCTGATTCTTGTCTGACGATCGTCGGCTGCAGCATGAGAAGTTGCAACACTGAAAAAGACAAAAGTACATCAGCAAAGGTAACAAACTTGTAAATGCTTTTGCTATTTTTACATCCATCGCCTAAAGCAAGTGCAGAGAGTATTAGAAAAGGTGCAGATTTTCCAACGAATTCGTACATGAGGCCGCCGAATGGTGGACCGATGAGTACACCTAAAGCGAGGCCACCCAGAGCGATTCCCATCGCGTTTCCTCTCTCCTTATCGTCGGGATACCTTTCAGCCAACATTCCCATTCCTGAAACGCTCGAGCAGGACGACCCTATACCTTGAAGAGCTCTCGCAATGAACAGCACGCTGTAGCTGCGACCCCATGCGAATACTGAAAACATTCAACATTAATAAATTATTTATCAGTCAACATGAACTATATGGCTATGACTTACTGAGCGTCGACAAGAACATAATTATGAAACCAACGAACATGGGAATACTGTAGCCAATTCTGCAAAAGCAAAAAAAAAAATGAAAAACAGAAGACGCTTTGTGAGTGGGAGTATGCTAAAACTATCCGCATACTTTATTGACAACTTGTTGCGTGCTTGGAGCTCATCCAAATCTCCAGCGGTTTTCTTAATTCACCGACCAAATGGCAACTTGTTGAGCTCCATCTATTCATTTACTCCCTGTTTTTTTGCTCTCTATTCAGCAATATCTTTCAGAAATATTCCGAAAAAATACATGATTATTGGATACTTTCATTAACTGAAAACTAATAGAATTTTCTCTTTAAATAATGGACATAATTTGTTAAAGTAACAATCTGATTAGTTTAGAGGAATATCTTCTATATGTTTACAAAATTGATATAAGTTTCATATAGAAAGTTTTCTTTAATATTATTGTTTCAAATAAAAACTTACTTATGAGTTAGAGGGCCCACGAAGGGATTGGCCAATAACTGCACAAAAGCCTTCGAGGCTAACATCATCCCCACGGCAACGGTCTCTTCAACTAAGTCCTTGTGACGGGTATTCTTTCTCTCCAGTTCCAAAGCAGTTTCATTTATTGCTGCGAAAACAAAAATAAGATAGTTGTTACAGTTTTGTAAAAGTCAGATATAAGATGGTACTCACTGATGGCCTCAACCGGAGACACGGTCGTTCCGTTAGTATCGTCGAGGTTGTTGTTGTCCGCCACGTATCCTCTGCACGGAGGAAGAGTTGTTGTAGTAGTAGTTGTTGGTGGTGCGATGTGCGCACGGTAGTCAATTGGTGCATCCGGATGATTGATGTCGTATAAGAATTCCGGTATTATTGGAACTGCAATCAATCATTAAAAGTTGACTTACGTTAAGATAAAAATGAAACAAAATAGTTGATGTGCGATGAAACAGATAATAAATTAATTTAAATTAATTAGGATGCAATTTTCCATCGTAACGAAAATATTGCGAGCGGATAATTAAAAAGGCGTCATCGATTTCAATCAAGATCACGCTCAACTCTTTTTCCTTTCTTTCTGTAAAGCTCGCTCCTGTTTAATATTTATCGGCGTTCTTGTAATTAAAAGGTGATTAAAGTGTACGAGTTATCAGGGATTTGATATATGGAAGTGGATTAAGTGCAGTGCGATTAGTGAAAGATGATTAGTGTCGTAGTTGTGTTTAGGGGACACGAGTGAACGAGCACAGATTGTTCCTGCAGGGCAATTAGTCGCGTTTGGGAATGAGATTGATTTCAAAACTGATTAAACGCGAAGGAGGCGGAGGACTTCCGGCGCCAAATTGCACCTCCACTAAACCTCCTTCCAGCATCTAGCCTTAACACCCCGAGGGCGGCAGATCCATCCAACACCCTCCAACACACAAAATGTGGCCAGATGCATCAACAGACCTCCCCGCAAGTTTCCGTAAACTAGTTTTTCGAATTTGGGTCAATGTCGTCGTCGTCGTAATCGGTGTCCCTTGGCACTGGTAATTAAACGCCGCTAATACAAGCTGCAAACAAATTTTGATCGCTTGCGCAATTAATAAGTTTCTTACTTCCTAAACGCGTTTAACGATCGATTAACTGCGACTACGTATTTGCGATGTTTGCGATCATCAATCATACGCGATAGTTTGTTGATGTCACACTGTTCCCCATAAATATTGAAGCGTCCTTGATAATGCAGGAGGATAGAGCTGTTAGAAGCCTATCTCAGTGTAAAGTACGTAGAAGCTTTTAGTTGGAAGTAAAGATAAGTCACTCGAATGTTGAAGAGAGCTGCAGAAGGGTTGATTACGAATCTTACATAATGACTTTACATAAGTATTCCTATCAAGTAATTACTACATTATATAAATATCACCTATAAACATATCAATTTTTAAGAAATCCACCTCTTGTTATTGAATTGAACTGCAGAAATAGAAACAGACTTTTCAATTATAAATCAATCACTGAATTATTGATAATACTCTAATATTTTCTTCATCTGATGTAAATATAATTATTTCAAATACGAAAACTTAATGTTTAATTACGTAATGATTTTGATATTACTTTATTAATAATGTTTACTCAAGTTTTAAAGAAGAATTTGTTTTTTAGCAAATCAAAAAATGTAGATAACTTTATATTATGAATTGATAAAAAAAAATGAGATTTGAAATAGTAGAATGATATTTTTTTTAGTGTAATCAGTTGTGCTAATGATAATGAAATGAATTTTTGGTTCCAAAAAGTTAAATTGTTGATAACTTTGATAGTATAATGGGTTGGTCAGCGAAGCGTGCATATGAAACTGTCATAACTTGACTTTGCGACAATGGATGTCCTCCTCATCCTCCGTATGTACATCAGTACGGGGGATAAGAAGGACGGTTTCGAGCAAGTCGAGCGTGCATTGAGAACAATGGGTTGCAAATTAGGCGTACAATGGGGAATCCCCCAGCGACTTCCAACGAGAACAGCCACAATTATATCAGCGCACTGTTAATTATCCGGTGCTTCTTCCCCGTCGGCCACCAACTTATCAATCGCAGCCTCCCCTTCGCTTCTCTTTGCTTTAATGAAAGTGGCCGAAGATAAATCTGGTCTCTGGAGAAGTGAAAGAGAGAGAGAGGGAACATCTCTTCCCAGCTGTTCCACATGTATGAGATCGGAGCATTCGTTTAGCGAAGCGAACCTCCCCATTACTTTGATAGCCACCTGAATAATGAAACTGTATGTATTAAACATTAAACATCGGACTACTACAACTGCCTCCTCTGGTTGGAGTTCTGATAAGGAGTTACGTTTGGAAATTCATTACCAGAAGGAATAACAAACGCGTCCGCCTTTCAGCTCTGATTGCCATCCATCATCATCACTTGTTGATCCCGACTGGGTCACCTTTAATGCCCCCCTTCTTGACGTGGCGGAACGATTTAATTTTTTTTTGCTACCTCTCTCTTCCTCCACTTCAGCTCTACCCACCGCCATAGCCACCATCCACCCTGCAGTGCGCTCACTAAAGGTTTCTGATGGAAATTTTTTAGTGCGAAATATAATTTTATATGGCACTTTATTCCGCACACAGTAAATTGTGCCATTATGCTTTTCACTTCCTTGGCCACTCTTCCGTCGACTCCTTTTTTTCGTCTTCTTTCTCTCTGTCGCATTTTTTTCTTACTTCTTTCGTTCTCCTCTTCCAACCGCGACCCCATTTTCACCGTTTCCCTCTGTGCAAATACAAAGGCTAAGCCCATCAAGAACGATTTCAGCACTGCGCAATCTAAGATTGATAAAGAACGCAATTTAATACTAATTCTGAATCGAGGAAAAGGAAGCTACTTTCAATTTACATAATATGCACTTACACCTGTAGTAAGCACTAGAGATCTATACTTAAGTGCATTATTGTTAAGCCAATCTTATTGATTTCTATACAACTGTAATTAAGAACTGTAATTATAGAATTATATGCAAGTAAATAATTATTTTTATACTATAGATTATATAATATTACATAATTATTTTCAATGTTCATTGTGAGTAAATCGAAGCATAAAAGTTATATTATGAAACACCCAACCTGTTATATAATATATATGTCAGGTTTACCAACCACTATCGGTTTTCATTGATGATGCTGAATCTAAATGACAGCTAACTTGACAATTGTGATCATTATGCAAATCATGTCAAAAATGAATGCCTCAAATCACGCATACTGTGGATGCAACATTAGTTGAAAATTAAGACAAATATTACAAAAAAAACAAATTCTGTTTTTTACTAAATATAAATTAAATAAAAATTAAATTATCAAATTATATTTTTTTTTTCATTGGCCGAAACATGAAATATCGCCATTTTTTTACCAAGTTTCAAATTATGGAAGTGTAAGTTCGCAGAACAAATATTTTTTCCGTGTAAAATTTTATTAAAAAAAAAATTTGGTTTTTGATAGAACGAGTATGATTTAAGCGAATATTTTACAAGAATTCCACAATTCGGAATTTGTCTACATAAAAGTCTCTCCCATTATTGAAATACTGAACAGATTTTCTGATGATATTGATTGAAGTTTTACAATTAACGAAAAATAATGTAGATTGAGGTCAATTATAAATATTTTATTAATTATTATTGGGTTTTAATTATAATTTTAGAAATAGTTATTTTATGTAGTCTTGACTTTGAATTAAATTAGTAGTAGTCCCTAAAAGTTGGATCTTTAAGTATTTAATAATGGTTTAGATTTTTATTTTTGATATGTATTTAATAGTTTGCTTTATAATGTCTATAATTTAATCTTATGTTTTTTTTTATAATATTTGATTTATGCTTTAGAATCTGAAAGTATTCGAATCAATGACAATTAATTAAAATATCAGATTTGTATCATTTTTAGTATATTTGGACTCATTTTAGATATTTATCTTTCATAATCCATATATATCTTAAAAAAGTACACACATATTACAAACGTTCTTATACTTTCATCAATATTTAATCAATAAAAATGTTTATTAAATATAAAGACGAGTTAATGAACTAAATAAAAAGAGATAATAAAGAATATGTGCTTCGATATGCTGATGAAGCGTATAAAGTTTAATTCTTAGGGAGGAGGATATACAAACAAAGCATGTATTTGCTGATAAAGAATACGCTTTATCTACGAATTCAGGTCCCGTTTCAGCCCCCCTCACCAATTATAGGGCGTCGGGTTGGATGAGTATAATTGTTATTAGCTTTTTCCTTGTTTGTTCGGAGCTTACCTCCCTTGATGTCGTGTGTTTGTGTGTATTTGCGGAATGTGGACGACCTCGCGGTTTTGAAAATCAAAGGACCTTTTATGCACCGCTTGCTCCGCACATCATCCACACGTGACGCGATCCATCCAATTCCCCCCTCGAAGGCTTATATTTAAACCGCATTATTTTTTCCAACCAAATAATCACAATCAATAGGGCTTTAGGAGGCCACCAATAGCGGATAGATTTTTCGGTAATATCACACAAACCCTCTCATATTTAACCTTCGAAAGGGTTATATTTAAAAATGTTTAATAAGAAAAAAATGCACATAAAAAAATATGGACTTTGCTGAAATGTTCTTTGTTCTTTGGTGTGTCAGGCGCAGCGTTGTGGGATGAGGTTGAAGGTCATCCCGATTCCTCTGAGTAGTCGGACAAGTTTAATTAGCGACTCGCTTATAAAAGCTGCTTCCAATTAATTAATACTTTTGGCGAAGCGTGTTAAGTCCTGCCATCTCAAATTGCAGGAAGGAAGGAAAGAGAGATGGAGAGAACAATGGGCTATGGAGGAAGGGGTGAAGGGTGAGGGATGGAAATGAATAGAAATCAATTACTTATTGTTACTTCATTTGGAGCAAGAAGTAGCGGAATCTAAGCTGATTTGGGAATTTCGCTTCTTCTCCCTGAACATTGATCTCCTCTTCGCATTTAAATTATATCAATCGCGGATTTCTTTGGAAAGTTTAATTTCGGTCTCTTTCGGGAATACAGCTTATGTAGTTCATTTAAAATGAATCGAAATATTCATTCAACATGCGACGTTTCTATTTGACAATTGACAACTGACTTATTAATAAAAAACGTACATTATCCTCATCTTAAGAAAATTTTGTTTGGAAAACAAAGTTTTCAAAAAGCTATTATAATATTAATATTGTCATTTATAGGATTATGTATGCATTGACCAAATGGATACGTTCTGAATTCTGTGTTGTTGTTGTTGCTTGATCCTGATCTCATCTCGAACGGAAAGTTTGGAAAGACTTGGATGGATATTTCGCTTCTTCTGGCTGATTGCTTGTCCCCGAAGCGTTGCATTAAACATGAAAGAAAGGGTCGGGCGGAGGGTTGGATCGGCTTTTAGAGCGCAGCCAGCCGAAAACCCGAATAAACCACCGAAAAACCGTAAAGCCGCAACCTCGCACAGCCGATCAAATTCTTCTAATTATTTAATCACGTATTCCGTTATTCTCTCCTAATTTTCATTTTTTTTTTTTTGTTTAAAATGATGGCGAAATTCAAGCCAACCAAATTAATGAATGATAAATTCAACGCATATTTGACATTATTTTTCTTTTAATCCTTATATTCTTATAATCCTTTCTTGTATCCTTATATAAAATCAACAGTTTGTCATAAGTGTCAATTTGACATTTATGTAATTTAGATTATGTCATTTTGCCATTTATGTCATTTTTTTATATCACTTTGTCATAAATTCGCATGAAATATGTTATAAAAGTCTATTTCATGTAATTGTCAAGAACTTGAAAAGTTTTACCATTAAACAAATTACTTAGCAAATATTAAGAATTGATTCTATTATAATTACTTGTGTGTGCAATATAGACAAGTATTTCGAATCCACGAATTGAAATATGGCCTTACTGAAACATCAACTAATACTTGTCAAGTACATAAACAATTATTTGGAAAGTACAACAAATTACTTCTACAATAATTTCTTCTGTATACAGTATAAACAAATGTTTTGATTACATGAAATTAAATGCTGAAATTGTATGTACTTGCCAAGTTATTAAACAAGTTACTTGGTAAGTATAAAGAAAATTACTTGTTTATACAAGTATGTTGATACTAAATCAATGTCTTATTTAATCTTCACATATTACTTCTTAAGTATTGAGACACATTATTTGGCATATTATATTATGTCATTTTGACATATACGTCAATTTGTCATTTATGTCATTTTTTTTATATCAATTTGTCATCTTTATTAATTTGTCATAAATTTGCATGAAATATGTTATAAAAGTCGATTTCATGTAATTGTCAAGAAGTTGAAAAGTTTTACTATTAAACAAATTACTTAGCAAGTATTAAGAATTGATTTTATAATAATTACTTGTGTGTGCAATATAGACAATTATGTTGATTCCACGAATTGAAATATAGTCTTACTGAAACATCAAGTAATACTTGTCAAGTACATAAATAATTATTTGGAAAGTACAACAAATTACTTCTACAATACTTTTTTCCGTGAATAGTATAAACAATTTTTTTGATTATATGAAATTAAATGCTGAAATTGTATGTACTTGTCAAGTTTTAAATAAGTTACTTGGTAAGTATAAAGAAAATTACTTGTTTATACCAGTACTTTCATTCTAAATCAATGTCTTACTTAATCTTCACATATTACTTCTCTGAGACAAATTATTTGGCAAGTATAATTCTATAATAAAAATATTTTGATTCTACGAAATAAAACACGGTCTACCCATGTAAATCTATGAATAAGTGAAGACGGGGATAAAAAAAAAATAGGGCGACAGGTTAAGCTCATAGTTTGTCCACCCCTGCACCATACTAAAAAGTTATTATTATGGCCCATCGTAATATCGCAGTGTGTGTGTTTTTTTTTATTTAATTCAATTTTACCAAGTTTTATTAGGGTGGTGTGAGACTATATATATATTTTTTATTGCAAATGGAGTTCGTGCACTTACCTACTGTGGTGAGTAGCATGTTGTCCAGTAGCAAAGCTATTGCTACAATGACAAGAACCAAACGGCGAGACTCGCGGCATTCTTGGATCCAGCCGCCCAGCCGCGTCCCCGCCACCCACTCGTTCACCGCAGTCATCTTAGTACTTCTTTCTGAAAATAAAAAGATATAAAATTGTTACAAGAATTTTTATATTGAATTCACATTAAAAAAACAACAAGAGTGTATATAACTTAAAGAAATGAAGTATTATACTGCACTTGCATTATTTTATCAAATTTATAAAGGTTACTAATGTCAAGTTGTGGTTAAGAAGGAAGATGGATTAGGAACGAATGCATATTGTTCACTTCTGAAATAAATAAAATATGAACTATGACAAGTATTGCTGTGACAAGTAGAATGTTAAATGAAGACAAATGATTCAGACTCCAAGAATAGCTTAAATGAAAATATGTAAAATTTATGAAATACAAAGGTTTATTAATATTTATTTCAGGATGTAATATGTCCTCTGCAGTTGTAATTATTTCATATTTTATTTTTTGTATTTTTGAAATAATTTCATTAAAAATTGTATTTTTTTATATATTTTACTTAACATAATAATGATTTGATAGAAAGAAGAAAAAAAAAACATGTTTGAATTAAGTTTTGGAAATGGTACATACGTAGAATAATATTATAAATATTTAACGCTTCCAAATGTTATTTCAAGAGATTTACGTTTTGGGCGGATTGGAATCGCAAATTGTATTCAATTCAGACACCTTTTCTGCCGAAATTTCGAACGGAAAGTCCTCTTCCCGCCAATTTGCATAAAACCCTATTTGCATAGGCAACAATAATAATTATGAATTCGCAAAATCACATTCAAATTAATTTTGTCCTTCCACATAGGTTTTAGAAAATTATTTCGTTTGAATCAAAAGTATTCAAATTTACAGCAATTATTTATTTATTTGCAAATATTTATTGGCCCATTTCAATACTTTTAATGTCTGAAAATGTCTAACAAATTATTATAGTTTGAATATTTTTTTTTCAAATTAAATGAAATAGTAAACTGATAATTTCAATTTAAACTTTATGTTAACTTTGATGAAATGAAACATTGAAAAAGCCTGTAATATAATGTTTTAAATTATAAATAATTTTTATTAACTTATGTTTACTATATAAACATTTTTTCATTATTTAATCTCCTATTCCATTATTATGTAGTGTTCGTCAATAATGATGACAACATTGAAACATACCATATGAATTAATGATAAATTCAAAGAACATTTAACCTTATTTCTCTTGACAAATTTATAATCAGTAAGTTGTGTCATAGTTCATCACATAAACCAGTATGTCATTTAAGTAATGTCAATTTGACATTTACGAATATTGTGTCAATTTGATTAAAGATTTTACTGAAATTTAAGTGAACATTGTTTATTGATCATAATAAATCACTGTGTAGATTCAAAATTAAGTTTAATATTAAAAAAAATAAAATTTTACTGAAATTTTCTTCAATATGTATTGATTATCTATGAATTTAAATATATGTTTTTTTATGTTTTTACAATATTCTTGAATAAGAAAAATCAATATGCAATATCAATTACAACCCCATTTTTTTTCATTCTTCCTTTGTTATTGAGGCCTAGGGTTGTGCACAATGGACACACACACACACATAATTCTGCACCATTGGTTCCATACGCAGTTTATCTTAGCATCGATTTTCCTCTCTTACTCGTTGTTGGCGCGGTTTTGCCTGTCGATCATATATTTTTCTCCCGACGAAAGGAAAAGCCGGTGCACATGGAGAAAGCAGTGAAGAGAAGCGAACAGTGAAAATAAGTCCGGAAAAAAGAACGAAAAGAAGAAGAAGAAGGAAATAGAAAACCCAATTTTGCTGTTGTAAATATATCGGTACTTTGTTTCGGACAGATTTTACTACTAGAACGTAAAAATGCGCGAACGACAAATGTCTTCAGTGTTATTAAGGATTCATCTGCTGCGGGTGAGAAGTCGTTTGAGGGTTGAGAGAGGGAGGCAGGACGAAAGAGATTCTTTAATTTCCTGCCGTCAAGTGCACGAAAACTCCGCGCCGCCCCCGACCGTATAAAACCATATGCAAAAAAAAAATATATATACGCGGAGTCGAGACAAATCAAAAGCCGTGCACCTCTTCCATCTCGAATCTGGATTACGTGGATCGATGGATTTGTTCTTAGATTTCTCTTTCTCTTCTCGCACTTCCCGATAATTAAATAAAGTTCGCTCGGTAATTGGGCGCATGAGAGACGTGAGCAAATATATATCATCATGGATGGGGTAGTTCGGCTTCTCTCCACCTCCATTCGTCGCCCTTATTTTATTCGCATTATTGAATTTGGGACCCTTTAGTGTCTGCAATGACACAGATGCTCCCTAAATTAGCGAGAAACTGAATCAGCAGCAACATCGGATCCATTCAGAACTTCTCGATCTGCATCATCCCATCCCATCCTATTCCATCCCTTTCTCACTCTATCTGCCTAATTTAACTATCGGATATCAGAGTATCCAATGAGATTACCGATCTAATGAAGCCGTCGTCGGAGCTACAGATTTGTTGCGACTACCATATGATGTAGTCGAGGAGAAATAAACTTTCGCCCTTTAACGTAATCATCAAATTACACATTCAAAGTTCAAATGATGTGTTTTAAACCGACTTTGGATTACTAACCAAGAAATTATTCAAAATAACATGAATAACTAAGTAAATTCCGTAAAATTATATTTAACTATACGATAATAAAATACGATAATATTTACGATAAAAACAGATTTTTACATATGATATGAACCGAAAAAGCCAAAGGTCAAAAGGAAGACGACAAAAGCGTGCAGTAAAACAACAATATCAAATTATGACCACAAGAGATTATATATTAAACTTTACTTAAAGACAAGCACGACATTCATTCTAGTGCTTTAAGTTCGGGGAGTTTTTGATACATTTTAAAAATTCTTAAAGTTACTTACAACTGTGTAGGGTTTGTACTTACAAACAATTTGGTGATATGGGTATTTCCATATTCACTATAGTGCCTTAGCGTACTAACACCTAGGTAGGGTTGGGATTCTAACAAAACATACAAATTCTTGTACATTCTATTAAAACATTATTCAATTAGTTCAGATTAATTTAATGAATAGATATTTATTAGTTACCAACTAAACAAAGCTGTAACTATATAAAAATGACATACAAAAAATAAGTTCAATCAAATATTTTGTAAAAGACAGAAATTTAACAAAATTATAGAAAGATCTAGTAAGATTTAATTTATTGAAAAGATCAGTTAATTGATCGTAGTTTTATAAACGTGTTTTATATAATGATGTGAAAAATAGGCAAATAATTAATATTTAAAAATCGAATTATAATAAAATTTCCTGCAAAATTTGTTATCTCTAGATAGACAGTAATTCGAAGGTTATAGAAACTAATGGATTTTTAACATATTTCAGATTTTCTATAAAATGTGTATAAATGAAATAAATTTCTTTTAAACTTGTTTCATATTCAAAATGAAATGAAACTCTTAAATAAAAAAAAACAATTTCATTATAAATATTAATAATTAATTGAAAATATTTTTAGTAATTGTTATGAATTCGTATGTATATTTTTTGTTTTGTTTATTTCATGAAAATATTTGAGTCTTCATTGTTTTTTTTAAGAAATGAAATGTTAAAAAAAAGAAGTAAAAAACGTAAGAGAAACAAAGCACTAAGAAAATTGTGGGACGTCGAAATGAAAACACACCCGAGGGAATTTATAGATTAATTGGTATCTTTCCAGATTTGAAATCCTTTCTTTGGGGAAATTACTATATTCTTTGAGACAAACACTGATTCATGCGATTCAACAACAATTGCAAACTAGTTTATTACAATTATTTTACATTTTTCTATAGTAATTTTAGAGTAATACTTATGTTCAAAAACTATGTTTTGAACAATTTTCAAACAGCATTTAGGAACGATTTATGTTTGATAATCAAATCCACATCGACCACAATATTTCTAAATAAAACCATAAATAAGGAATTATATAATTGCGTTTGAAACAATTGAATAGATTATATAAATGTACATAAATAACAAGAAACTACGTCAATAACGTTCAGTTGAAACCGTCGATATGCTTTTAACTTATTACGTGACAAATCTAAAGATTGAAACAGCACAAACCATACAAATTGATTTGAATTGCATATTAAAATAGAACGAAATTATAAATGTTTAATATGAAAACAGAGTAATTATTATTACTATTAAACAAACATGAACTCTCAAAATAATCAAAATTATTATGAAATATTGGATTTTGATTGGAATATTGTATAAAACATGATATTTTATATAGTAATTAGGTAAAGTGTAGAATTGCTAGTCAAACTATCAAATAATATAAAATTTCTATCAATATTCTAGGTATTTCATGAAATTCCTAGATATTTAAGAAAATAATAATTATAAATTACTTATAAAAACAATATACATATTAAATTTAAATCTAACTTTTGAATGTGCAAAAAGTAAAAAAAATGTGTGAGCTTAAAATGATCGAAGTTGAAAAGAAAAACTTGATATTGAATGTGATCGAAGTGCATTTAGTTCTTCATCGTTTTTTTTTTATATATGCGGTTGTCGTTTTTCCAGTTTGAAAATTGAGATTGGAGCTGCTGGGTTGCACGATGAAAGAGTAATTGTGTATATAGTTGGAAGTTCTCGTGCACTTTCCGCCCTCCCAATATCGCCACACTTTAGCAGCTCACTTACTGGAGGAGAGGCGCTCTAATTACCGACATAACTGAATTATAATGCTACTCAGTCGCGCCCTCGATTGCAGGGGCGCTTCGCTAAAAGGCCGAACCTGTTACTACTAATACTACTTCAATTCCCATACCATTCCATCCTCCCGACAAACCAGGAACGAAAGAAATGAAAAAATAAATTGGAACGAAAGGAAGCACGAGAAGGCACTAAATGAAAAGAAAAAGGAGAACATTCACGTTGAAAGCATGAAAGAAAAATCATCAATTTATTACGCTACAATGAAAAGTGTTAATTACCAATAAATGTATTATCAATATATTTAGTTAATTATCTGAAAATTATAATTTAACAGAATATTCAAAGATGTTTAATCATTGATAGTTATTTGATAATTTATTGGTCGTAATTTGGACTAAAATCATTGATTTTTTGGTAAAATTTAGAGATAGTTTTTAACACTTCGTTACTCGCGCGGAGTCCGTGGGTACAAACCAAACATAACTTTGAAAACTGAACATATGTACCTTCCTCTTACTGACTGGCAATTTGTAAAAGAAGTAATTATTAACGTTATATTTAACGGAGTTTCTTAGACGCCACGCGAGTAACGATGCTACGAGAGGTCACGCGAGTAACGCGTTAAGAAGTTAATATATTTGAACGAATCTATTGAATTAACGATCTGTTAAATAAAATGTAATGCTTAATTTACATTGCTGTATTTTCCAAAATGTATGAGGACATTCAAGAATCCTCAGTATATATAGACAATATATATTTAAAACTATTTATAAACAAAAAAATAATATGTTACTTAACGGTTTGTCAATGAATGTTAATTTTTGTAATGTTCTTGTTCTTTTATAAATAAAATGTACAAATATGGTTCAAAGTAACGGTTCGTTAATTTGAATCTCAATATGGCTAGTATTTAATTGGGAAAATTCGAAGATGTTTTAACTAATGTAAGGAAGTTAAATTTTATTTTAATGCTGTGGTTTCTAAAATTTAGTACAATTTATATCAATCAGTGAAAAATTAACATTTCCTTTAACAGTTAAGTTAAACATTATAGAAACAATCAATAATTTTAGTTAACAATTAATTTAACATTGACTCTAAATGTACAGTTCCCCGTTTCTCAAACTTCTAATTGTATTGAAGAATTATTTGTAATATATTATTAATATCTTAATAAAATCTATATTAAATTAACGAACTGTTAAATTCACATATATTTTGCTTTCCAAAATGTGGATATTTGAAGAAGTATACTTATATAATTATTATATAAATTATTATGTAAAATTAATATGCACTTTATTAATTACTTTACCGAGTAAATAGTATTATATAATTGATTGTCTGAAGAAAATTAAAGTAAAAAAAAATGTTGGTTTCCGTTCGTAAAGTTAAACATTTCTTTCTTAGATGAAACAAGGCCAAGATGAAAAGGAGCGAAATGAAAAGAAAATACAATCTGCCATATTATTAAATCCTTCGCTGCTCATTATGTGACGCTTTTTCGTCTCCTTGCGCTTTCCTTACTTCAATTCGAAAAAAGTTAATTAAAAAGAAAATTGAGAGTGTAATTATGTTAGGACTAAGCTTTATTACGAAATTCGAATGAATTGAGAATGAAAGATTATTAAAGATGCACTTTTAGTAAGTAGTAACAAGGTTTAGTTATTTTTTCTATATATTCTTTTTTTACATATTATTTTTATAGCTTATAAACGAAACATTAAATAAACAAGTGGTTTTATTAGTTAATATTATTTTAATAAAGTATATTTGAATTATAAGATACAAAAAAAGTTCATTTTTGAGCAATTGTTTTATTGGAAAGTGAACTATATTTCCGTATATTCAGTTTTATTTTCATTTGTTCATTTTTTTCTTCTTTTTTGTATACACAATTTGTTTTCATTGAAACGCATTAACCTACATATTTGTGATATAATCATAAATATAAAAGAATATAAAATTTAGTTAAATAATTATATAGATAAATGTGTTTTAACAAATTATATGAGTATACATAATATAAAATTGGTGGATGCGCCGGGTTTTCACACAATTATAAATATATGAACAAATTCAATTCATTGCTTTAAATTCTTTGGTAATCAAATATATATATGGTTATGAATGTATTGCAAAATACAAATGTAGAAAAATAATATTAATGGGGACAATACATACATTTAGTCATTGAATTTATGTTAACTTGTTGGTTAAAAGTTAACAAAGCCCAAGAAATTGAAGACTTACATTGATAGTGAATTATATATAATTTATCTTTATGCTTTAAAGTTTACTCAATGTAAGAAATTGAGTAACATATTAAAGTTGTTGAAGTATTCAATTGTTGAAAATGTATTGTAGATTTGTTATGTAATATAATAAAATAGTGTATCGTACCGTTGGAGCGATTGTTGCTGTAGTTCGCAGTAGTATATGGTGTTGGATTATGGTTGTTGGTTGTACTGGTAGTTGTTGTTGGATGATGAAGAGGAGAGATGTGATGTACTTAGTTGCGGGTGAACAGGTGGCGCGGCTCTGGCGCTAGTCCATGGCCGGAGGGAAGGAAGGCGCGCTGCCGCCTCGACGTGCGCGTCGCCACTGAGATCGAGGAGGACAAGAGCCTACGCCGATACCGCCTGCCACCAACGCCGTCCACCTAGCTTCTTCTCTCTCCGGATCCTCACTAGGCGAGTCCTCGCGATTGCGCCCCCACACCGCTGACGGTAGTCCTTCGAAAAAAAGGATCGCTATGTAGGTGGTATCTATACCCTCTGCTTCTGCATGGTACACGCAAGACCACGACGAAGAGGAAGATACCCATCCGCGCCATCGCATCGCAACTCACCGCCTCTTACTTCCTGCACTCTCCTCTCCAACCAATCCATCAGACAATTTACAATTCCCGCTAGTCTTTTCCAATGATCAATTATATTAAGTACTTCATAATTTTTGGAACTAATTTCAGTTCCTAATAGTTTTTTATTTATTTTATAATATTCATGACTAGTCTTTTTCAATTATAAATTATTTAAAATTCTTCATAATTTTTGGTAAAATGATATAAGAATGTTGAAGAAATATTAGAAACCTGTATACTTCTCTACCATTTAATTATTTTAAATACTACAACAATAATAGCATTATTTAGAGATTTTGGACAGATTATATAAGAATTTTGAGAAAATATGATATTTAAAACCTTAGTTTCATTCAATGATCAAATTAGTTTAAATGATAATGTTATTTTTTTCATATTCTTTAAATAATTATATAATTGGAAAAATTATGTTAGAATGTGGATAAAATTTGATTTGTAAATATTCCGCTTTCTGCACTCTCCTCTCCAAGTAACGCATCCAATTTAGATATGTTTGTTTTATTATAGAATTATTTAAAATTATTTTAACATTTTATAATTTTGAAAGATTATATAAAAGTATGGAAAAAATATAATGTTTAAAAAAGCGTGTACATTCCTTTACAACCAAGTGATTTAATTAAAATTCTTATAAGTTTTTATTTAATATTCAATTATTGTTAATACTTAATAATTTTGGAACATTTTTTTTTGAAGAAGAATAAAATGTGAACTTAAAAACCTTTACACACGTCTCTCAATGAGGGCATCCAAATTTACCGTGATTTATGTTTACCGGTAGTAAAACCCGGTTTACCGGTAATTTATTTAATTGAAAATTTTTAGTGCAAATCTCGATTAACTATTAAGTTTCAAGAAAAAAATAATATATTAATAAAAGAAAAGGAAATATATACATTTTAACTTAAAACACTTTTTTTAAATATTCAGATCCAATTCTTACTGAGAATTTATTAATGTGCACACAGTAATCAAATTTTCATTATTTCAACGACAGATTTTGACAATAATTTTAGTAAAAGCAATTTAATTGAACTGAAATAAATTATAAATATTTTATTGATGAATATTCCTAAATTCTAAAGAATTCTGCACAAATTATGTAAAAATTGGACAATATCCGAAAATTTTATGCGTCGATTAATTTAGAGAATATGAATAACTTCAATTTTTGTTATAATTTGTAAAACATCTTCATGTACAACAGGACTTTCAATTTCGAATTAATACAAAAAATATCGAAATTACCGGTATTTCTTATAAAAATTTACCGGTAATCATATTGCTAATGCTAATTCTGTTAACTGTTTACCGCAATAATATCATCAATTCCTATTAGATTTTTGTATTAAGATAATTATTTTAAATTTTTCATAATAATGATAAGAGATAGAATATGGAGGATATATGATATGGAGAGCCTCCGTTTATTTCATTTTCTTTTCTAACTAATACATCAATTTCAATTTTAATTATAAGTATTTTATGATATATTTTAAACAGATCATAGTAAAAATCATAGAGAATTTTTATAGAGAATATGTAGCACATTTTGCAATAAAAATAAGACCCTCATATGTTAAATCCAATATAAATTAGTTTCATAAATTAATATATTACTTAATATATCTTAAAGATTTAATAATGATGATAATACTTTTCAGATATTTAGTGTTGAATCATCTTTTACACTCTTTTTTCTTTCTTTCATCCAATTTTTAATTTCTTATTTTTTTAAATGTTTTATAAGAATCCAATTAATTTCTTACATTTGTAAATTATTTTAAATACTTTGGTTGGTTAAATTGTCATAAAAGATGTGTAAATGAGACTTGCCAAGTAACTTGTCAAATGTTACTTGGAAAATATCTCATAGTATGTAGTGAATTTTTAAATTCTTATTATTTTGCTAGCAATACTATTCAGCTGGTATAAATGTGTAATAGTAAGAAAGAGTGAGAAGTATCTATGAAGAGGAAGAGATTCATCGGCGCCAACGCTCTGCACATCCACCTCTATCATCTATTCGGCCTCTCCTACTTCAAGCAACCAACCAGCCATCCACTTGTTGAAATTCCCTAATAAATCTCTGCCCTCGTTTCCTTCTTCCTTCCACCCATGCCTTCTTCATCCACCGGCACCTTCGTCCGCACCCCGGAGGGTTGCTGGCCGGGCCAGTTCATTTTCCACCGATAAATATATTCTAGGTCTTTTATTGCCGGGACCGTTCACTGCATATGGATGTAACACACAACTCAAGATGGTACCATTCGCACGCGCCACTCAAATAAATCAGGATCCAAACCACTTTGGATTAGAAGAAGAAGAAAAATATCGTAAGGGAAACGGACTCGTCCCTAATTGCATCATAATCCATTCCTTAGATATCACTCGAGATTTCACTTTAAAACGCAAATCACATGAGAATCTCTAAAAAAACCGATTATTTAAATGTCATTATTTTAACAGTAAAATGCTGTCAAGTTGTTTTATAAAGCAATTACTAATGTCATTAATATAACTTTGACAGCAAAAACATTTATATTTACTTTTTAAACAATAATTTAAATGAAATGAATAGCACAATTGACAGCTAAAATCAAAGTCATCTCATTTTTTATTATATGTTTGTTTCTTTTTTACGCAAATCACATGAGTTTCTATTAGAAAAACGTTTATTTAAATGTCATTATTTTGACAGCAAAATGTTGTTCAGTTGTTTTTTTAAGCAATTCCTTATGTCATTAATATAACTTTGACAGCAAAGACATTTATGTTGACTTCTTAAACACTAATTTAAATTAAATTAATAGCACAATTGACAGCTAAAATCATGAAAGTCATCTCATTTTTTATTATATGTTTGTTTCTTTTATACGCAAATCACATGAGGTTCTCTTAAAAAAACGTTTATTTAAATGTCATTATTTTGACAGCAAAATGTTGTCAAGTTGCTTTTTTAAGCAATTTCTAATATAACTTGACAGCAATAACATTGACGCTGACTTTTTAAACAATAATTTAAATGACATTAATAGCACAAGTCAACTCATTTTTTGTTATATGTTTAATTCCTTCTAAATTTGTGTATGACAGTTTCAATAAACATTATTATTATATTTAATTCATTTAAATTTACATTTTTGTAACACGAGAAACGTTCGGTTAGAATTTTTGTCTTCTATAAGCAATTAACATTAATCCTCGAAAACGTATGTACATCGTTGTATAATAACCACATATGCTTTCCAGTTGATTCCACGCATTTCATGTAATCGTATCTAAAGCTGGTAGCAATAAATTGGGTTACTGATCAATCAATACTTCATTCCCTCTATAATAATCTAATGCAATTACAATTACAAATATTTGATCATAGAATCATCCAAAATGTGTATATTCTGTGTTGTCTTATATTTGAGTGCTATATTGCACATATTATTAATACACTGGAACCTCGCTTAACGAGCATAATGCTTTCCAAAATTTCCGGATTTTTACTCGTATACTAAAACATTTTTCCCCATATAAACTAATGTAATATATGAAATGCGTTCCATTTTGCGAGTCATTTTTCTTACAATTTATTTTGCTCGTTAAGCGAAATACTCGAGGTGCTCGTTAAGCGAGGTTCCACTGTATATATTTTATTTTGTATAGAAATTAGCTGTTGATTATACAACAATTACTTTTATGATTGATATGAAATTAATGAAACGTGGAAATAATAGTCTTATATGCTAGTCTAATGATCCACGAAAACATTTGAATAGAAGTCTCGCATAGTCATATCTTCTTTGTTCTGAATCTTCTGTACTTCAGAGATTTCAATTTTCCTATAAATATAAATTAAATTTACCGAAGTTTGCGAATAAAATATTTCTAATTAATTTATCTTTGCAGAATACAAAACTATTTATAGAATAAGAACATTTTATGTACTAGTATGAAAACAATATTGAAAATATAGAATACTAAATCTGTGTAAATTAAAATCAATTTTCTATACACTTAGAGAGTGTTATAAAAGAAGCATAACCATTTTGTTTTTTTAACTACTAAGAACATATTTGTAAAATAACGCAAGTACTACATATTTGGGTCAAAATGACGTGTTTATTAAATATTTCTCAAATAGAACAAATTATTGATTTTTACCATAAACATATATTAATTCTTATAGTTTAAAGAATTTATCATAATGTAATACTGATTTTATTGCTCAACACATTCTGGGCAATTTTTTTGAGTAAGTAGAACAAGTTGGTCTTTTATATATATCAAATTTTCCCAGTTTTGGTACATGGAAAACCAAAGTTATTTCACTAATCCAAATATTTATGATATTATTACAAAAACGTATGTACGGGTCATTTTGACCCAAAATACACTCTACTAAAAAGTGTACTAAAAATACTGGAATAGCTGTCGACCCCAACAACTAAATTACAATAGAATGCAAATAAAACAAATATTAGGTTATTTTTTTTGTATTAATAGTTTGATGAAGTTTTCTAAAGTATGTATGACATATAATATTGTCAAAATAGTTATAAATTGTGAAAACAGTAGAAATTTTTGTTAATATTTACCATTTTCAAATATTTCGTACATTATATTTTATGTTAATAATAAAGATAAATAATAAAATTAGATGATTTTGTAATATAAGTGCTAAATAAAAATTGAAATAATATCAAGGGAAAAAAATTACGGTTAAACAAAAAGTGACGCTTCTTTTATATGAAAATTGAACCATAAACTAAAGTTGTATATTTTATTATTACCTAATTATAACGTTGATTAAGTTCGTACTAAATTTGATGATTGTTGCATTAAAAAATCAAAATA